TCATATGCAGAACTGTGATCAGAAGAATATTGAATAACATATCTGTATACTAAATAGAAAGGTATTCAAATCTTTTATCTCTGAATAAATGATTAACTAAGTAACGAATCTCGGTCAATGATAAATCATTTTCAAGATAAGTTTCACTCAAAGAGACAAAAATCAGAAATTTCATACTGTGAGGATATGCCAAAGCTATCCTCTACAATTTCAAATCTACTTACTATCAATCACTTCACTAATACTCAGATCTTGAAGAACAAAAAAAAACCAGTTTATTTAAGTGGTTGTAACTTAGAAAGGTGAACTCCCATGGGTATAAATCCGTTTAGATTCTGTTTAATTTCAATCGAGCCTATCGAATGAGATAAGACTCGTGTCAACCGTAGTTTATTATTTTGTGAGATTCTCTCGTTAGGAAGTGTTGATCAGAAATGAAAATCATTAGACTTTTTGATAATTTATAATATTCCATCATTGATATCAATATCTAGTCTATAAATAATCTTCTTAATCCTCATTCTCGTGAAAGTCACTAGACTTGTGCATAATAAGATCATCTAACGCATTGCTTAAGAGAAATTTTTCGACTTTTTTCTCCTAATGAATATGTTTTTATCAGTCATATTGATGGATAACTTTTTTTTTTCTCTTAAGTTCGTATTGTATAAGTGGTCCAGTGTTTATTCAACCATCGGACATTCTCAATCGTGATCAATTAATCATTACAGCAAAATGTTCATATGAACGAGAAGTTATCAAACGTGATGGTCCAAGTACACAATTTAAACTTCATAATATTCAAGGCAAATGTTCAGTCCTTTCATTGAAACATTTTTGTACACGTAAGTTTTACTTTCAGATTTTTCGTTTATAATAATTATGATATAATACTATATTTAGATCGTTTAACTGAAATTTCTGAAACTGATGTTTATGTTTGTGAATCAAAATATGTTAGTGATGATCATAGTCTTCGTGGTTTATCAAAACCATTGAAAGTGCGATTTTAAAGATAATATGATCGAATAATTTTTTTTCTTTGTCTTTATAGAGAATATCATTATCATTAAAAGCAACTGCTGATGAAATCTGGACTTTTCGTAAAGAACTTATTCTCAAACAAGTAATAATTCTTAACATTTTCTTTTTTGTTTTTATTTTCTTCTATTTATTTTGAAAAAACAGAAATAGAACTTAACATTTGATTTTCTTTTTCATTTCAAGGAAACTCCTGGTGGTTTATTTAAAGCAGTTGATGAAAGTTCAGCTATGGAAGTTGATGATCAATTCAATAGTAATCTTGAGGGAAGTGAACATCAGTCGAATCATTTGAATTATGATGCAATCAATAATAGTATTAATTTTAATTTATCATTCTCTAATCGATATAATAATAATCGAGTAAGTAAATATAAAAGACTAATAATAGAAGTCTTTTAACTAATAAATCACTTTTGAGTTGAGACTATGCACATGTTGCAGACACTATTTTGCTATGAATAGTGAAGAAAGAATTGGAGTGTTTAACTTATTGCTGCAGTCTTATCGCATTTTTACAGTATATTTTAGATAATAGGAAAAGTAATTTTCGAATTTCGACTTCAAAAGTGACATAGAGAGAAGCCTTAACACAAATAATTTACTATGAAAGTTTCAAATCTTTTGATTTGCTTCTATGCTGCTATGAGAATATCAAATTTGCCGATTTATAGGATTAATGCAAAAGACACGCTTTTATCATAGATGTATCTTAAGATAAGAACAAAGAAAAAAGATCTAAAACTTTAACAATATACTATTCTTGTTGAGACTTGTCTTTATGCAAAAGTTCAAGTAAGAATTCGACAACGAGCTTTCCTGAGGAAGACTACAACATTCTTTGAAAAAAACATGGTAAAAATGCAGTAATAAGTTAAGGATACGAACGCTTTTCAACATATTCATAGCTCATTAGGATCTATATTAGATAGTTTCAACTGAAAAGTGATTAACTCATTGATGGATTACCTTCGTAATGAATTTTTATATTATTATAATTTTGTTTTTTGATAAATAGAAAAGTAATCGTCGCGGACCATCATCACGTCCACCTTGTGGTTATCTTATATTTGCAAGTGAATCACGAAAACGTTTGATACGCGATAATCCAGGTATTCCATTTGGTGAAATGAGTCGAATTATTGGTGATCAGGTAAATATTTTAACAACAAAAAAAAAATCAAACAATTACTTAACTTTTAAATTATAATTAAATTAGTGGAGACGGTTATCGCCACATGAACGTGAAAAATATGAAGAAAAAGCGCGTGAACGTGCAAGAGAGCAAGATACACAAGTATCAAATAATCCTATAACATATGATTCTCCTATGAATCCACAGCGAATAATCAATGGTGGAATAGGAATAAATGGATGTTATCCAAATATTTCAAGTATGTTTTATTCTCGAAAAAAAAATAATGTGTTTAATCTACAAATAAATTTTAGATGTTTATCCAATGAATAATGTTCTTCCTGTTGTTATAAAACCACCAACAGCTGCAATTGTAAATTGTCCACCACGAGTACAAAGAGTCGTTCATTCAGAAATGTATTCGAAGTATATTGAACATCTTAAAACTGATTATCCATTTATATCCGACTGGCCTAAACAATTAAAAGCATCGATTAGTAATAATGGAAATATATCATCAAGATCATTACCATCACATTGGCTAATAAATAATAGCCCCGGGTTTTATAATAATGTTTATGAAGCGCTATGGTCAATGCGTGATAATATGTGGTCGGATGTTGTTCGTGTACGAAATGTACTTTCTGATGAATGGTAGACTTTTTTTCTTTTTTCTTTTCATATTTGTTTTTTCGTTATATCGACACACTCATTGATGGAGTTGTGTAAAGAAATAATTGTTTATTACAGTAAAAATATGTGCATGATGGATTGTTGTAGAATGTAGTTTTTTTTTTTGTTTTTTTTTTGTTCTTTATGCTTATTTCGGCTTATTGTCTGTATGTAATGTTAAAAATTTTTTTGTTTCATTTTCTTCTGAATGTTAATGTAATGACGAAAAACCCATCAGCAAAATTATTTGTTCTCTTACCGTGATATATTGCGGGATATATTGTATGTCTTGTGAATGCTTTTTTTAAATGTACAGATAACATTATGCTATATAAAAGAAAAATAACAGACTAATTAAACTTGAAAATAAGATATGAATAATGCTTAGATGATTTATTTCAATAATTGCTTTGCATGTTCATGGAAACAAGAAATACAAGTCGTTTTCGACGGGGAAATTTACAGATTTGGTCGTCAGAATCATTGATCTAGGACAGTTTTGTCATTTTGAAATTAATTTGAATAAGACAACGATGAGTAAATTTTCTTTGGAGAATTCTCTTCTATTATTTCAGTGCTGCTTATAATAGTAAAAAAAAAAGCGTTCTATGACAACGCTCTTTCCTCATAAATAATAATAAATATTTTAAAACATACACTTTCAAAACGATAAGATATTATTGAGATACTTTGAATTGATATTTGTTATAGCATACAAAGATTGAAATATACGATCTTCAATTTATTAGATGCAGAATATTTAAAAATTTATAAAAGTAAATTAGTGACTTTCAACAATGTAACAGAGGATGCCAAACTAATAGTAGAAAATATTGATATTCATATATATCTCTCGATAAATACGTCCCGAAACAAATATATTTTTCATCGAGTAATAAGAAATAATTTATATTAATGACACATTCATAAATAAAATGCTGCAAGAGAAAAAAGAAACATTCATATAATTATTTGGCATTGTTTTTTTAACATTTTATCACATGGCAGTTAATAATAATTATTTGCCATATTAAAAGATTCTCTTGACGAATTCATAAAAAAATTGTGAATTTTTCAGACAATTGTGTTTCTTTTGTTGCTCACTTCATCTGAATTATCAAACTATTTGTAATAAAAAGGATTGTTAGCAATATCATAAGGTAGATCACAAGTTCTAGTATTCTTTTAGATAATTCAATTTCGATCAAAAAAACATTTAGTGAATAATGCATTTTAACTGATAGTATATCAAAATCTACACGATTTCAGAAATACATGCAAAGAAAATTCCGGGAACGATATAATGTTAATGAGGAATCTCGATTTGGTTGTTCATTTTCTCAATTTAAATATGAAAAATATTAAACTAATACAGCAAGTTATGAAAGATGATTCCCATTCAACTTATAATCATGTAACTTATCATCTCAAATTTTTTTAAATAAATTCATTCTGTTCTCATATATATAACATAGATAAAGGTAAGACTATAAATTACAACTATTAAATTGAAAATTGCTTCACAATAATACTGCTTCTTACATTGATTCATATGTTGTACATTGTACAGTACTTGAAGGTATCGATCTAATGTCATTTACACCAAATTATGCACTAGATGACCTTCGATGAAATGATTAAGTCAAGCGTAACTTATTTGATCAGATAAACAAAATCTTTATTTGCTACAAAAAAAAATCATGAACTGTCAAGGCTTTGAATCATTAGAAAAGATAGAAGTTGATATATCGATAAATATGGTGACCATTTTGAATTTTCAATTCACATAATATTAAACATATATTTTTTTATCTGTTTATTTACTGTTGTAAGAACTTTTAATTAAATTTTAATATGAAAATTTTCTTGTGGAATTTTACTTTAATATGAATAGTCTTAAAAGATCTGTTTAGTATTTAATCAAAGTCATGCTGCCACAGTTATCTTTTCATTATACATCAAAAAAAAGAAAAAGAAACCAAACGAGAAACAACAAATAAACAAACAAAAAAAGAAAATTAATCCGATATATATATATATGAACGCAAGACAAAAATGATAGAAGAAAACAAGACAAATTTTCAGACGAAAACAATATATGTTATATCTCATCATAAAAGTATTGAGTTAATAAAAAACACAATTTTTCTATTTATGATGGAGGTGGACCTGGTGGTAATGGTGGTTGTTGTGATGATTGTCCATACATTTGATAACTTGGTGGATACATTGATGGTGGTGGATATGATGTCATTTGATTGTAAAATCCACTATAAGGATTATTTGTTGATGATGATGGCAATGGTGGAGGCGGATGAGATGTTACTGTTACTCCATTTGGTTGAGATTTTTGATGTGGTCGTTGTGAATGCATAGCATGACCATTTGTTGATGACGAATAAGGATTTCGGAGAGGTTCATCCTAAATTTAAATTAAAATATAAGAAACAAAAAGGTTATATATATATATAACTTACATGTGAAGGACGAGAATTATCTGTTCGAGCGCGTTTATAATCATTTCCATGTGTATTATTATCAAAACGTGATGGACGGGTTGGACTACGACTGCGAGATCGTTTATTACTAAAACGACTGGGCCGAGCATTATTATTAAGATTATTTGCATTTCGATCATTATTGCGAGCTCCGCCGATACCATTTCGTCGATCAAGTCCTAAAAACAATCAAATCAAACAATTTCGAAAAGAAATTTTCTTTTTTTGTAAATTCACGTACCTCCTCGATAACTATTTCCACCACGACCAGAAGAATTACCACCAAAGTATTTTGTTTTCGCCATTTCATATAACTTCTCATTAACATCTTGATTTGAATCTTTTAATAATTGTATTAATTCTTGTGCTTGTTTTCCATTTTCACGGGTAAAAAAACTATAAGCTGTACCCTTAGCACCTGAACGAGCCGTACGACCAATACGATGTACATAATCTTCTGTTTGTGGTGGATAATCAAGATTAATAACAATACGTACATCTTCGACATCTTAATATATATATGCATATAAATTAATTCATATCCTTTCTAACACTGAGTTAAAAATCTGCGAGCATGACGACATGAAAAACAATATAGTACTCCTTGTTTTTTATTTTTAAGTTTTCTTCTCATGAAACAAATAGTATGCCCTTTTTTTTTGTCTAAGTCAATCTGATTGAGATATTGAAAAGCAAAACAATAAAAAATAAAAATAAAAAATAAAAAAAAATAAATATGAAATTATTACCGTGTGCCAAGTCCGAGATGTTCAACGACCGCCGATGTTTTATTTTATGTGTACGCATTGGTATCGAACGAGTTTCTTATCCATCCGTTCGAAGGCAATACGATAACATAGTAGATCGGCACGCCGAACGTCGATACGACTTAGCACAATTATAATCAAATTTGGTATCCGTCGTCATGTCACAATACTTAAACACTCATGATATATATGTATATTGATGTAAACCCGATTTTTTTTTTCTGTTTATCCCTCTGTCTGTATGCTTGTAGAACAGCAATGACATGTGCAGGCACGCCTCTGCCGTAAGACGCACCTGCAACAATAACAAAAAAAAAAAGAGAAAATAAATGGAGACAGAGTAATAACAATGAATGAACTTGTTTGTTAGAAGAAATAAGAGATATTAACATACCTAAACCACGAGCCGCAACATCAGTTGCAATAAGAATAACACGAGATCGATTTCGAAATTCTAAATTCGAAGAATAAAATCTTACATAAATTTTATTTTTTTATTAATTAACCTTGTAAAACTCGATCACGTTCTTGTTGACGTTTATCTCCATGTATTGGAAAAACAGGATAACCAAGACGTTTAATAGTAAAAAAGAAATCATCTACACGTTTTTTTGTTTGAGCAAAGATGATCACTTTACAATCTTGATCACGCATAACAGCTGCTAAAACTTTTGCCAATCTATTTCAAAAAATAAAATAAAATCGATGAATTAAATATTTTTCTATTTGAAAAAAAAAAAATCTTTTACTTTGATTCTTTTTCATATTCTTCACAAACATCAACAATTTGATGAATATTCTGATTAGCATTTAAAACAGCTTTACCCAATGTTATATGTGAACAATTTGTCATAAAATCTGTTGCTAATTTTTGTACTTCTTTTGGCCATGTTGCACTAAACATAGCTGTTTGACGATCAGGCTAAATTTCATTGAAATTATTTTATATTTTAAGTTGAATATAAAACAAAAACTATATATATTTACTCGAATACATTTGACAATTTTACGTATTTGTGGTTCAAAGCCCATATCAAGCATTCGATCAGCTTCATCCAAAACAAGGAATGTTACTCGATCAAGATTAATTGTTTTTTCACGAACAAAATCCAATAGACGTCCAGGTGTAGCAATACAAACTTCGATACCATAACGTATTTCACGTTTTTGTGGTGGTTTAGGTGCACCACCATAAATGCAAGTACTACGTGCATTTGTTGCTGCACAAAAATCAGCACCGACTGCTTGAATTTGTTGTGCTAATTCACGTGTTGGTGCTAGAATCAATACTAATGGATCACCTGATCGCGCATTCGATTGACCACCAGCATGAACTAATGCAGGCAATATAAACTAAGCAACAGCAAAACAAAAATATTATAGAAACGATGTATAAGACATTATCTTACCGATAAAGTTTTTCCAGAACCTGTTTGGGCAATACCAACAAGGTCATTGCCACTTAATAGAATAGGCCAAGCTTGTGATTGAATTGGTGTTGGTCGAATATAACCAAGTTGATGAATAACATTTCGAATAGAACCTAAAAATATTAATTATTATAAAATCAAAAGAATTTTTTTTTTTTTTAAAGAATTTTACTAGGAAATTGAATTTCATCAAACGAAAGTATTGGTTTAGGTGCAAAGCCACGTATTGACATTTCATTTTGAACATAAAATTGATCTGTGCCATGCTATTCAAAACAAGAAAAAAGTTAATTAATTAATAAAATATGTGTGAAATTTTTGTACTTGGGTCCGACTTGTAATTAATGGTGATTCTGAATAGAAATTTTTTATTACAGGTGGGCCAGGACGTAATGGTCCGACAACAAATGAATCAAGATCGTCAAGTAAATTATTACCACCATGTCGATCACGTTCTTTACCATTACTAAGAACTCGATTATTTCCATATGAACCTTTACATAAATAAAATACATAAAAATTTTTTTCTTATGGAAATGATTAATTTACCTCTGGTTGATCCATAACTATTTCCACCACGACCGTTATAACTCATTCTTATGTTATTCAAAAATCTAAAATGATTGTGAAATTTATGTTTGTGACCCTGAGTTATTTTCTGCGAACAATGACGAAATGTATTTTTTTAGTTGATAGAAACCATATTGTATGTATTACAGTCTTTTGATGAAGGCTGGTTTGTTGTTGTTATTGTTGTTTTTTAGAAAATAATTAAGAAGAATATTTTATTTGGATAAAAATTAATTAAAAATAAAAATAAAAGAGAATTTCTTTAATTTTCATAATTTTTTTTTATCTCTAGCGCCACGTGACAATGATTATTGGCGCTAGATGCTATCCTTATGGATAACTAACTATTCTATTCATAGAAATGGAACTTCCTCAACTAGGTGATCATTGTTCGGTCAAAACATGCAATCGTTTAGGTATAGTTTTTTTTCTATATTCGATTAAAATTCATATTTATCTTTTTAGATTTTTTACCTATGAAATGTGATGCATGTAGTTCTATTTTTTGGTATGTATCTTTTTTGTTTTTTTGTTGTTGTTTTGATTTCAATCAATCGTTTTTATTTTCTTTTTTCAATAGTAAAGATCATATAAAATACGATGAACATCAATGTCCATCATCGTATCGTAAAAATGTTCAAATACCAATTTGTCCTTTATGTAATCAAGCTGTTCCATATCAATATCGTGATCAATCACCAGATCGTGTTGTATCTGCTCATATAGATCGTGATTGTAAATCAGATCCAGCATTAAAAAAACGTGCAAAAGTTTATTCAAATAAATGTTCTGTTTCATCATGTAAACAACGTGAAGCAATTCAAGTTAAATGTGAAAAATGTTTAAAAACATATTGTTTACGACATCGATTTCCTGATGATCATAAATGTCAAATATTAGAGAAACAACATGATGAAGATGCTTCAATTGCATTAGCAACGAAATTATCATTAAATCAAAAGTAAAATATAATTTTTCGTTTACTAAATATTGTTGTTGTTTTTTCTTTTATAGAACTCAAGAAGAAAATGATTATCTTTTAGCAAAAGCTTTACAAGAAAGTGAACGAGAAGAAGCTCAACGACGTCGAACCACTGTAAGTATTAAAATTAAAGTATTTGTTTAACAAATGTTCTACAGTGAATATGTATGGTAAGATTTTTAATAGTGGGGAATACTAACTTTAATGTCATTGTACAGAACAACTCTTGCTAAACAAATACTAAAGTTAATAATGCAAGTTGAATCATTTTGTTTCTTTTTTAATCTATTAGACGTCTACAACAACAGCAACAAATAATAGTGGTCATTCAACTGATAAAAAAAAATGTTCTATTCAATAATTTATTTTTTATTTTGTTTTTTTTTTGTACATGAAATAGAAAAAAAATAAATTTATGTTTTTGTTTTTGTTTTTGAACTTGTACAATAAATTTGTAAAGAATTTCAGATTGAAATTGAAAGTAAGAATGAATTTTGGTGAACCATCTCCAGATGTTATTGCTCGATTATATAATGAAATAAAAGAAAAAAAGGTATGCATCGAAAATTTTTTCTTTATCTTTTCATAAATTTATATGTTTAGATTCTTGAACTTGATTGGAAAAGTCCAGGTAAAAAGAATCGAACAAAGAAACAAAAAAATGCACAAAAAAATATTAGTCCTATGAAGTCAGATGAATCAACAAGTTCAAAACCTGAAGACAATAAGTACAATCATATTATGTTTTTTTTTTCTTTGAATACAATTGATCTCATTTTTTTTTTCATAGATTAATGAATGAAATTGATGAGTTTGATAATGATGATGCCTTAACATCAAACAATATAACTGTTTCATCATTTCGTTCAGCTGGTTAGTTTTTAAATATTACAATATTCTATCAAATTTCTTTTTTTTTTTTTTACTTCTTAGTTGGTAAACCAAAAACTACTGAAAAACGTCTTATTGATATGAATACTGTTATTGCTAATATTGAACGACAACAACAAGAAGATGAACGACTTCGGTAAAAATGAAAATTATTTCAAATAAAATTGTCTTATTAAGTTATTTATTTAGACAAGGTATGAATAATTCATCTGGTGGCAAATCTTAAAGAAAAAAAGCAACACGTTCATTTTTTTTTAATTATGTATAAATTGTACATGATAATTTTTCTGTCTCTTCTATTAGTCTATGTAGAATAAAAAATTCAATTAGGATTGTTTAAGCCATTTATGAATTGAAGCAAGTTGTTCCAGTTCAGTCATATCGACTTGATAGTTTTCAGACATAATATCATATTCCCATAGAATAGCAGTTGAAGTTCGTCCATGTGCACAAATAAAAGGCATTGAACATAATTTTAATTCATTTAAAAGTCGATGACATTCATTTTTATTTAAAATATCATTAAATTTAATAGCATTATGACAAGCTAATGATTTAAGTGTTTCATATATAATCAATTCGATATTATTTGAATAATTATTTATTTTAAGAAGAATATTATCGATTGTATCATAAATAATATCATCTAGAAGAACACTTGATGATTGACGTTGTCCAAGTGATAAAAGCCAACCAGGTACAGCTCGAATAAGAAGCTTATGAGTCGATATAGAAGAAAAACTAAAGCCTGTACGTTCAAGTAAAGATATTTGTTCAAATGTATAGAGAAAACGTGGATTACGGGCTATGACAACTGGTTCAGGTAATGGAAAAGGAATCGTTCGAATATTTTCTTGTTTAAAATGAGTTTGAAGACGTTCGAGAAGGATACGTTCTGATATAGCATGTTGATCGAAAAGAATTAATTGTATTTGATTGATACTTGATGAACGAATAAGACGTTTACTGATTAAGAATTTTCTATCAAATTGACCAAGAAAATGAGTTTCATGAAGAATATTAACATGCATGGATTGTTTTGATGATATTGATCGTAGGTTTAATATTGGTGGATAGATTCGCGGAGGTAGAGTATTAGTTATGATTGGGAAAGAGATATTTGATGATTGGAATTGTTTTTTCTTATTGACTTGAAATGAATTACGAATATTTGTCGAAAGACGAACTGGATGAAGAGATGAACGATAATGTTCATTACGTCGAAATATAGACCATTCTCGTCGTTTTGATTGAATAAGTGTATGTTTGTAAGCATTTGTACGTGCATTTTCAAGAATTATTCGTTGTCGTTTATGATATAATGTTTCTTGTTGTTCATGGACTGTATTGAACTTCGTTCGAGCTATACGATATCGTTCAAGAAGATCATTATCAATCGACATTTTGTATAATCTAATTTTCTAACTGACTATTTTTGAATTTTGATTATTGTTATAGATAGAATCACATCGTCCAGTATAAAGACCTAGATGAACATTTGAACAAAGAACGAAAACAATGACCATGTAGATCGATATATATCTTATGTGAAAATAAAAAAGACATTTAACGTTTTTTTCGCTAAAGTTCACGTCGAAATTTTACCTTAACTCTTTGAGGACTGTCTTTATTTTTATAAAAGAAATAAAATTGTCGCGTCAAAATTACTTATAACCTGAAAAGTATTAACTATCATAATTATAATATTTGTTCTTACTGTACCGGCACAAATAGAGTACTTTGAGATAGAAAAAGAAACAAAACACTCAAAAAATCTACTCTAACAAATTCAATAACTTTTGTTTCTACTGAAATTTCCAAAGTCGTCTGTATATGGCCACAGTTTCCAAAGGGTTAAAGAGAAGGTTGGTTTAGAGAAACCTTACATTTGCATTTGGTCGCAAGCAAAACTTCTTGCATTTCCCTACACAAACATTAGTATTCATTCATTTTTCACATAAAGCTTTTTATATAAGTGTTATGTCTAGATGCATTTAATTCTTTATTTTATACGTTTTCATCGTTGTTGATATTCTAATTTTTCTATATGGATCATATCCTATCAGTATAATTGTATAGAAAAGTAATTTATATTTCTTGTCATCCTTGGTAGACTAGGTCACGTGCTAATCATAACGCAAGAAAGTTGTACAAAAAACGAAACTTGTTTTTTCTGGTTCCAAAAGTGTGAGGAGCAGTGTCTCATTGCAGGTCATTCTTATGATTTGAGTTAACATTGTATTCTAGGAACGGCAATTTTTCAAATTATGTTAGAATCAAAGTTCGATTCCGATATAATTACTATCAGAAGATTTAGTTTAGTTTCTGTAAATTTCAGTGCACTCGAGAAATTCGTCATAATTGGCATCTCACCTCAGACTAATATTCAATATCGGTGTAAATAGTAAAAAAAAAAGGACCTTTAAGGCTCTATCCTATATTTGTAGTTTTGTGATGAGATGTGAATAATGACAAATTTTTCGAGTGCACTAGAACATTTACGGAAAAATCAAATTAAATTTTCTGATATGAATTGTATCTAGATTGAAATCTTATTCTAAGATATTCTCAAGATAATTTGAAAACTAGCCCTGTCTAGAATAGATATCAGCTCAAATCTTGAAATGGGATTGCCATGAAACACTGCTTCTCACACTTTTCGAAATAGAAAAGAGGGTATGTGTCGTATGGATGTGAGCATTGGTCTTCGTTATATTGACACCCGCACAGCTACACCCATTCGTAACAAACAAAGGACTTCATTTGTGTTAATTTGTTTTCATCAATTTTTTGGTCTCTAATAACTTTTCAGCAATATTTCATACGCAATAATTGTCTTACCATCATGTACATCAGAATAGTTTATTAAGGATGATTGGAATTATTCACCATAACACTGACTTTATTTGTCAGCAAGTCTTAATGTCAAACTGAAAGCACTTTTTATTCATTACATGACTTTTACAAAGGTAATGAATGTTATTTCTAAGTGTAAGATACACTCTTACAGAACATTTTATCAATTTATCAGATGTCATTCTGATACTCGATAAAAACTTTGCAACTCAGTGCCTTTCTCTTTTCCAAGAACAACTTTCCAATGCTATTTCAGGATTCGCCACGACACTTATTTCTTCGCCCAAACTTTCTTCTTATAGTGAATGATCATATTTATTTCTCATTTCTCATATTTATTTTAATCCTTCAACAGTATCACTTGAAAATGTTGCTCGATGTTTATGTCTTCCCATTCTCTTCACCGATCCTTCGGTAACACTAGAGGTATACATAAAGTGCAATGAATTCATTATCAAAATTTATTGGATTCGCTAAAGCAGTATACTCACTTTTCTATAATCTAACTTCGGTGGATGCCGAGCTCTGTGAGTGTCTGTGTCGAGATGAAAAAAAAAAAACGTCGCTATGAAACAAATTCCGAAACACTTTTACTTACCGTATTATTTTGTAATGCTTCTCTGAGAAGTTGTATCCCTTCCCCGTCAAATTCATTTTGCTCAAGATCAAGTGTCTTGAGCGTCTATGTGAAATTATCAAAAAAACACTTAATACTACACTGATGAACACGCGATTTAACGCACCGTGTTATATTGTAATACTTGACTAAAGTACCTTGCACCTTCATTTCCAATATAATTTTTGCAAAGTCTAAGCACAGCGAGTGTCTGTATGCAAGATAAGATAAACAACACCAAAATGAGAAAACGCAGAGTGTGTATCTCGCACATTGTTGTCAGTTAATGCCTCAGTTAAGTATTTGGCACCTTTGTCACCAATTTCATTCATATTCAGCGTAAGATTGATGAGTGTCTATTCAAAATAGAATAACACACTGCTATTCAACAATCGCAAAGTCTATTTGTGTTACCGTATTATGCTGTAATGCTTCACTCAGAGCTCGTATTCCTTTACATTTGATGTGATTCCCAAAAAGATCAAGTGTAGTCAGTGTCTTTGGAAAACAATAAAAATCTTTTATATGAGATAATGAAGATTTTGTCTCTTACTGCATTATGCGATAATCCTTCACTCAAATATTTTGCACCTTGATCTCCTATTTGATTAGATCCGAGAAGCAATGTAGCGAGTGTCTCCATGAAAGAATAAGAAACATCAATATTAGATAGACAGAGATTCTAAATTTCTTACCTTGTTTCGCTGTAATGCCTCACCCAAATATTGTGCACCTTGAGCTCCGATTTCATTATTATCGAGGTTGAGTGTAGTAAGTGCCTAAGTTAAAGAATAAGAAACATCCATATGATATTGATGGAGGTTGTGTTTCTTTCATCCTGTTATCTCGCAATCCTTCACTCAAATGTTGTGCACTTACATCTTCAATTAGATTCCATGCGAGGTGAGTGTAGCTAATGCCTAAGTTAAGGAATAACAAACATGAATATGGGATGGAAAATATTCTTCCACTCTTGCCATATTTGTACATATGCCATATTCAGATGTTGTGTTATGTATACTCGGATTAGATACTATTCACTCTACTTTTGAAAATTCCGGATGAGATTTTCTTTGTGATTTTCACGGTGTCTCTGAATGACATTAAGTAGATACCATGAGTTTGATTCTATTATCAAGATACATGATTCTTATTTTATTACTCAGCTTTAAAGTATGAAATGAGCAAGAACACAATTGGGGAGACATCTGAATCGTCTTTAATCTTTTAAATTTGAAAATTATTTAAATCCTTGGTAATAGGTATTATAACTTTACGTTGGTAAAAATCATGCAATAGGGATTAATGTGTCTAATATTTTAGATGTCTGAAATTTTGAGTTGTAGGTTGCCTTTATTTTCTTATTTGTTTCGAAATATCAGTGATAGAATGATAAAACTATGTTGCATCTGTAAATGATATCAAAGATAGTATATTTTACCATGTTGTTGTGTAATGCGTAGTAGCTTACAATTTCCATATCATCATCGGTCAGAGATCTTTTTGACAAACATAATTCTAAGCTACCGGCACTGATCGCAATAAATTGTTGGAGTTTATGGTTTGGATGAGAAAACAGCGGTATAGAGCCTAAAAAGGTTCGTATATTAATAAAATTTATCGATTAGAATAAACTCATTAGGTAAAATGACTCTTGGGTACTGACATATTATAACGACTTTTCTGAATCATATCTTTTCAAAAATATTGTTAGATGATTTTTTAATAATTATTTGTCTTAGAGAGAGAAAATTAAGACTAAGATGGTGCATATTGATTCTATATATTCATTCGCAATAGTTCTTCCTTATCCTCTTTTGATTTAACAAGCAAAGGGAATGCTTTGGAAGAAAAACTAATTCACAAACCTAAAACAAGTCTAGGTTGTTTTTAAAACATCAATCTCTAAGTTATTGAAAAGATAAACATATTTGTACAGCAACAGTATATATTCATACCATGTATCAAGATCCAACTTCGATGCGTACTACGTATTATAAGAAAACGACTGTATTCGCGGACATGGCAGTTGAAAGCTAATGAGTTCAACGTCTAAAGAATATTCTTGGTAATATGAAGATGAAAAACAATGATAATCAGTAATACAGCACTCAATAAGGCATGGACACTATTACATACGTCGAATCGATCTTTTATCTAGTAACTGTTGAAACCATATGTAGTATATGTGCACAATGCTATATAATACACAGGAAAAAGTGAGTGATCTGATATTTTTCAACAAACAACGTCATTAAGCATGCGTCTTATTTCAACGACGTCCCTGTTTAATATTCTAGATTTGAAATGCATAGCCATTAGCTATGCGGAATTGAGTCCTTTTTCTTTCAGATCGTCAACCTATTGTGTCCAATAATGGATTATTGTGATGTCTATTTTAGTGAGGAGCGACTCTGACATGAATCTTACTTTCTTTGAAGAGAGCCAATGAAAACTTCTAGATTTAAAAAATAAAAGCTTTTTCCAGAAGAAATTTTCGCTATTACTGCTAAGTATCCACAAATTTCAGTTACAAATAACTAAAGATAATCAACCATTTTATTATCTCTTCATTCTTTCAAGTAGCATTTCATGAAAATCTTCATCGATATCACCTCAATAGAAACAAAGGACCCATAGTAGTCACTTCATAGTATTTACACATAGTAGAACTGAAAATAGATTTGGTGCATTATGAAAAGTTTGATAATAAAAAAATTGAATAATTACTCGAATGATCGGTTTGCTCTATAAGAAGCCGTTTCAGTTCACTGAACGTTGGTCGATCATTTGGTGATTGGGCCCAAGTGTTAATGATGATAGACCAATACTTTTGACTACAATTGGATGGTTTAGGTAGTAAATCACCATTCAGAACTCGGCGAATCACGTCTTCATCACGTTCAATGTCTCCCCATGGTAGTGTTCCTTGTGAATATGCTTCCCACATCAATACACCCATCGAGAAGACATCTGATTTCTCTGTATAATCATTTGGTATGACGTTAGATGAAAGTAATTCCGGTGCTGCATATCGAATCGGAATAATATTTAATGTTGTTCTTGCAGCACCCGGCACCAAAGAATAAAGTTTGCTATGAAGACTCAATCCAAAATCAGTTACTTTCACAACAATTCTATCCGAATTATTTTCATCGTAACGAAACATTAGTATATTGCGACATGCTAAATCACCATGAACTACATTATGAAATGCTAAAAATATCATAGCATCAATAATCTGTAAAAATATTTCAATAAGAATGTCTTCATTGGGCATTGTCTTGCAATCCATTAAGAGTTCGTATAAACTACCTTCAGGTGCATATTCTTGTAACAACATAATTGCATTAGATTTAATCTTGTTATTATTTTCATGTACCAAACCAAATGTACGAACAATGTGTGGATGACGACTTAGTTCAACGTAGAAGGATGCTTCTTTTTGTGCTCGAGCTCCATCAACTTTTAAAATAACTATTTCTGGTCGATTATCATTGGTTGGCAACCATTCGGCAAGAAATATTGTCTTGCCACTTGTTGAGAAGAGTGGCCGACCTCTATTTTTCCTAACATCAACATCAAGTATAAATTGATAATTTTTACTATGTGTTGATATTTCAAAAGAATCAACAATTTTTTTCATTGCACGATTTGGAATCAAATTTTCAATAGATAATGGTTGGTCAGTTAGTGGGCTTGTACCTTTTTTCCGAATCCATTCTTCAATAGCTTTTCTTTCATATGTATGACCATCCTGTGCTACCACTGGATCACGAAATAACTTTAATGTGAGTGGACATGATAATGGATCGTGAGTTTTCTCCATGGGTAAAACAAACAGGGTATATGACGATGTTCTTGATGGCCGGCTTTGTCTAATTGAATGTATAGAGAAGTAGATCTTGTCTTAAAAAAAAGAAAAATATCTATGATTTTTTTGAATAAGCATTCTCAAAACTGATGATTACTCTAAGGAAATAACAGCAATATATCATCAAATCGAAAGATTTGAACGATAAACAAACACGAGAAAAAAGCAGAAACAACATTGAAAATATTGATTCTTTCAATAACAATTAAACCTACGTCGATCTATGAAACAAGAGCACTTTTTGAATGTGTTAATCTCTCGTACAAAATTGCCTACATGAGCAAGTTAATCCGGTCTAAACTATTAATTTTATGAAAGTGACTATGTACACATATGTGTACATAGCCGGTCGGCTATGTACACTTGTGTGTACATAGCCACTTGGCTATGTACACTTGTGTGTACATAGCCACTTGGCTATGTACACACAAGTGTATATAGCTGACTGACTATATACACATATGTGTATATAGCCCTTTGGCTATGTGCACACAGGTAAATATAATCAACATATTAGTAAATATGAAGTCATATTATAATATTATATGTATTTGTTGATTAATATAAATTAATTATCTAAGTTTTTTCATAGTTTTATTAATTCTTTATTACATACGAATAAAATATAAATCATATAGAAAAAAAATTAAGTCAAATAAAGATCAATAGTTCAGCAGCATTTCTAGTGCTTTCTCTCTTTGGTTTTAAACGAAACAGTTGAATTTCATTATTTTAAATAGAATACATGATAACCATCTAGTGTTAGCGCTTATCTTCCCTCTTCATTATATCATATTTTTTTGTCGAGACACTTATATAAAGAAAAATTTTATATCTTCTTTTCTTAGTTGATTGGGTTAAAAATAGGAAACTGAAAAATAGAAAAAGTCAAATAACTTGACATCTGAGAACATAATCTTTATTAAGATAGATTGATTTATCTTTACTTTAATCTTTTTCTCTATCGAGCTAATTAATAGTTTTTCAAATGAAATGAAATGAATGGATAATTGTTGTAATAAAATTGATCGACTTCATATAACCTCATATATAGTACTAAATAAATCCTCCAATATTATTAAAAAGTCTATCATAATCATTCTCAATGTCTGTTACAGAAAGGTATATGTTGCTATTATAGTTAAATCTAAGTATATTGTTTCGTGCTTATCGTAATTCTTCAACTAGAAAAATAAAGCAAGATAATTATTCTCTCTTTAAAAAGCAGTTTGATAGTTGGGCACATTTTGAGAAAGAATTTAGAAATTGGTGCATTAATTGTTATCAACCAATGAATATAAAACGTTCTTCAATGAAATATAATGAAAAAATGACGAGAGAATTATTTAACTATGTTCAATACCAAAATGTAATGTATGCATGTCATCATAGATGTCCTGTTCGAAGACATATAAAAGATGAATCAAGACCAAACCAAGAATCGGCTCGATTATATTGTGAATTTATTCTCTTTCTCGTAGAGAAGAGTCTTGTGAGAATAAATTGTTTGTTTCCTTGCTTGTATGTCCACACCAGAGATGAGCGAGTCAGCAAAAAAGTCGCACCGTCACCGCCCCGTCCCGCACCGCCGATAACGTTCCGCACCGCCACCGCCCCGCCTGTTTAGCATTGAAACCGCCACCGCCCCGCCCCGCCCCGTCAAAAATATGTTTTAAAAAACTATTTATTGACAAATTTTTCATTAAATTTGATAATGGCTATTTCATTTCATGAGATGAAGAGGCATATTTTAAATGCATAAACATCGTTCCGAAATAGAAAAAAAATAAATATATGAAAATGAAAGGCAATTATAATACAGTCACTCATTTTGTGGAACTCACGTATATTTTCGAATAAAATAGTGATTGTAAGTTTTAAGTTCGAGGTTTGGCGGCTCTCTCCCTTCCCCCACTCCATTACAGACACTCCACTCAGGGTTGCCAGATCTTCCGATACGGCAGGAAAAATTGCGATTTTTTAAAAGTTTCTCCAACGACTTCCCGACGTTCCGATTTTTCCGATCGCCTTCAGATTTCCTAATTTTTCTCCGGTTTTCGAAGTCTTATTTGGGAATTCAAGTTCTTAGGACATTCTAGAATAGTTTAACCATGACACGACACCACACATATAGCGATCTATTTCACCATAGTTATCGGGTAGTGAAGCGTCATGAACTCAACAAACCACACTGCAGTGATTTGAAAGCATATCCTCCAATAAAACTATGATGTTTTACAGACAATTAAGATCCAGCTTTCTATCACGATGAACTAACTTTCTCTGTTCGTTTACTATAGTGTTAATTAAGAATATTTTCGTTTCTGAGCTTTTTTTGTTTCATCACAGATATCATAAAACTAATCATAATCGTATGGGTACTAATTTAGCTGTTGCAGAATTGACAATCGGAATGAGTTCTGTTTATACTTGGGGACATTTTTATGAATATCTGTTACCTCAATCTGATATTTTGAAGAGTATTCGAGCTAATAAAAAAGTATGAACAAAAACGAACATTATACAGAATAAGTCTTAGTTTTGTTTTGCATAAGTTTTGTGAAATGCATGTGTGTGTATGAATTTACAATACTGATTCTATTGTTTCGTCAAGTTGGTTATAGCATTTTTGATAAAAATAATGTGATCCTGTTCAAATTACTTATGTAGATTTCTCAATCATGAGTAAATTGTGTAATCGATATTTTCTTTAATTCTTTATGAAATATCATTTCTGATATTGCTTCGAAAAGATGAACAGAAGCAAGATAAATGATATTGAAGCTATCGAAAATATATAGACTAGTTATTTAAGCATGGAAAAATACTTTCTGATTTTCTTCCGATTTCGAGAACAAAAATTCCGACTTTCCCAATTTTTAGAAAAATTTTTCTGATTTTTTAATTTTCGATCTGGTAACCCTGACCCCCATCATTACAGACCTCAGCAGCGCATAAAAGGCTCTAGTTTTTATATAATATATCAATGATTTCATACGTATTCGGAAAAAAGGTATTTTACAATTTAAAAATAAGGCATCAGGACAAAAAATTAAAAAAATATGTGTGAGTTCCACATTTTAGCTCCTCTGGAGCTGCGCTAACAAGTCTTTTTTTACTGATTAGTTTTGTGAAAAGATTTTAAAATTTTAAAAAGATGTCTCTAAAGGTCTGAGTATATTTAAAAAATCAAGGTTATACAAAGGCGGGGAAACCGCGAAATTTCGTCATGCACCGTCACCGCCCCGCCCCGTCAAGTTTTAGCACCGCCCCGCCGGCGGGGCGGGGCGGGGCGGGACGGGGCGGTTTTACACCGCGGCTCGCTCATCTCTGGTCCACACTTCAGTGATTGATCCAAAAGAAGGTGAAGACAAAAAGGATTATTTTCCATAAAGCTTGATCGAACGGTAATCGAGGATGAGGAGTTCGGATCTGAGGTTAGTTCTAACTAATTATTAACTAATTATTGGTTATTAATTAATTAATAATTAATATTTTTAATAAAACTTGACCAAAGGATAATCGAGGATGATGAGTTCGAATCTAAGACTACTTTTAACTGATTATTAATTAATTATTAACTATTCATTAATTATTAATGTTTTCTATAAAACTTGGCCAAAGTTTATCGAAGATGGGGAATCCAAATCTGAGCTCAGTTTTAGCTAACTTATTACTAATTAATTATTAGCTAAATATTAATTGATTATAAATTATTATTATTTTTCGTAAAGCTTCACTGCGGGTTATTGACGGTAAAGAATTCAAATCTGATGTCAGTTTTAATTAATTAATTAATAATTAGTTATTAACTAATTATTAATCATTATTATTTTAAATAAAAATTCACCATAGGTAATCAATGATGAATAGTCTAAATCTATGATCTGTTTCCATTAATTAGCTATTAATTAATTAATTAATAGTTATTAGTTTTTTGAATAAAGCTTCATCAAAAGTAATCAAGAACGGGTGATTTGATCACGGACTCGATTGGAATGATTCAATGATTTAGAGAGCAGGGATATGAGTGAGCCAGAGATGAATAACATATGTATACTAAATGAATAATTTGCTGATAATAAGAAAATAGTTCTTCTACGAGAAAGAGCTAAGCGAGTCCATAGACGAGCGTTACTTGTTTTAAAACGCTATACGGAATTAAATAAAATTGTTTTTATGAAAAATCAAAATTTAACTCATAACGATCCAAAAATCAGGAAGTTTATAAGGATTATTCAGTTTAAACAGATAAAGCATTAGAGATAGAGATGTTCCATCTTTAATGTTTTATGATCAGATATCTTTTACGTGATCATTATGTTAAATGTATTGAAAATAATGAAATTTAATTGTTTCGTTTAAAACCAAAGAGAGAAAGCACTAGATATGCTGTTGAGTTGTTGATCTTTATTTGACTTATACTTTATTTGTATGTAATAAAGAATTAATAAAATTATGAAAAATCTTAAATATTTAATATATATTAATCAACAAAAACATATAATATTATAATATGACTTCATATTTACTAATATATTGGTTATATCTACCTGTGTGTACATAGCCAAAGGGCTATATACACATATGTGTATATAGTCAGTCAGCTATATACACTCGTGTGTATATAGCCACTTGGCTATGTACACATATGTGTACATAGTCACTTCCTAATTTTATTCCTATTAAAAAAAATATGCATTCATATATCACAAGAACTGGGATATAAATCTCAGAAAACATTTTTAAGAGTCAATGATCTTTATATTTCCAATATTTTACAGCCTATTAATCTTATATATTCTATTTACGTTCAAACAAGGCTCTCGCTGTTTATAATTACGTTGGAATAATCTAGGGCAAACATTCCAACCGTCGAAAACACTGTCTTACAAGACTCGAAACGAATACAAAATGGCTTATGATTGCATTAATTTTTCATCGTACTTTGGCGTAACCCGTCAATCCGATTCAGCAGCCATCTTTCCTATGACAATCAGTCATCGTTTTTCCTACTATATTCGCTATTTTATCAGTTTAAGGATATAGGGAGCGTTCTCTTCCACCTAGAAAAGCAATAAGATCTGACATGAAAATAGTTTCAAATCAATTGGTACGACTATTGTTAACAATAATCAAGAACACATTAAATAGTGAGTTAAATTTTGTCGTATCTTAAATTCAGTCAGATAGCACAAAATAATCTTGTAAATATCATGGTAATAAAAACCGAAACTGGCGTGTTCAAAAGAAGATCTTTCTTTTACTATACAAGATAGAGCTGTATTAAAATATAATTGTAAGGACAGCGCATGAATTCGTACTTACACTTACATTGATCGTCTCAGCTTGCTTTTCTTCTACAATGCAATGTGTTGATCAATTCAGTCGTCACACGCATAAGCAACTCTATAAGAATGTTTATATTGCATTTCATAAAAAGCACCAATCATCTGTTTTTGTACATGTTTAGCTTCTTTTTGGTACTAAGAAACTTGTTTTTTTTAGTGTCAGACTATACCAGAGTTGGAACCGGACAGTTTTTTTCTGTCCGGTCCGGTCAGCAACCGGCCGGACGAATTTTACAGCCAAACTGGCAAAAATCCGGCGAAAATAACTGACCATAAAAGTATCTGTTCACATAAAATGTTGGCGAACGGGAAATTGAATATTCACATGCAGAAATCCGAACTAGGAGTGATCAATTTACATTTACGAAAAATTTGTAAATCCAAAAATAAATTTTAAGAAATTGAAATTTAAAATAAATTTTAAAAAGTTTTATTTATTTTGAATTTAAATTGGATTTACATAAATTTAAATTTTGTAAAATTATTTAAATTTATGTAAATCCAATTTAAAACTATAATAAATTAACAGCAGATCGCCACTCCTAATCCGAACTGGAAATGAAAATTGGAGCTGAAACTCTCCCTTCATATTTTATAGTAAGGTGCGTCAACTTGCCGAGTTCAACACCGATATAAATTGGCTATTCAGATCAAATCTGTTTTTCATCTTAATTTCAAAAAAGAAAAAAAAGGAAGTTTATAACAAATCTAACGCAAAAACGTAAATATTTATTTTTCTTGATTCAGGCAGCTGCCTAAATAGAAGAAGAGAATAAATTATTTGATCAAGATTAAACTGAGTAATACACGAGAAAGAAATCGACAGAGATATAAAGAGAACAATCAATCATTTATAGTCAAGTTGAAGATAAGATATCTATTGAGTTTTCGCACATACATTCTTCTGACTTGAAAATATCATAAAAAAGCCGTTTTCAGTAGAGAAAATTCTTGGGTGAAAACAACAATTTTGTAATGGTGAACTGGCAAAAATCCGGTCCTGTCCGGCCCGGTTTAACTTCTTGTCCGGTCTTGTTCGATCCGGTTCCGGTCCGACCGGACCGGTTCCAACTCTGGACTGTACAATTGATGTATTCTTCTGACACAAAAAAAATCATGACTGTCTTTCAAGTAAAAAAGTAACATTTTATCAAGCAGAAAAAAATTATTGAAGATGTTAAAAAACAATTCAATTCGAACTAATATTCATACAAGTATCTTGAATCAAATTGAATAGAGTATTACACATCTATTCTGAAACGGATTCATAAGTAATTCTAAATGTTTGCTTCAACAACTATTTTTTCTAGTAATGAAAAAGTTCAATTGAATACTTTCAATCATAAAAGAAAACAATACCGATTAATATCGAGACAGGATTATTGATATTTACTATAGAAGTCTATGTATTAATCATCTCTATTGGACTAAGAGCAAAATTAACACAATGATATTTGTGACTGAAGATTGTAGATAACTATTTTATTTATCATATTTTATATTAAAACACAAGCACACACATAGGTGAGTCAATTGAGATTACTTATCAATATAAAACAAGCCTAAGAAAAAAAAAATGTTCACCAGAAAAAAAAACAAAGACAAAAAACTAAAAAATAAAGAAAAATGCAAATAGTGGAAGTAAAAACAGACGAATATTAGTCTGTCTGTGTTGCACAAGAGAAAAAAAATGGATTTATGTATTTCGAATAGTGGCTAAATTTCGGTCTGCTTCTTGTATTTCATCTAATTTTTTACTGAATATTTTCAAAAGTTTACCAGCAAACTCTTCTTGTGAAACAAGTAATTTAGATACTTTTTGTCGTATTTTTTCATTTTTATCGATATTATCAGGTTTAGAATGTGCCTATGAAAAGAAAAAGCAATCGATAGAATTAAAACAAAAACACTTCAATTCAACAAAAATATACTTGAAAACTTTCGTCTGTTGTAGACATAATATCATCTAGATCATCTTGAGTTAAATTTAATATTTTACTAGCAGTATTCATTGCTGTGTCATATCCAGGCAATGTCATTGAAAATGATTCCCGTTGTCTTTGATGTTCACGGGCTCGTTTAAGATTATCATTCATTTGTATACTTCGTCGAATCATTTCATGAAGAAAACCCTAAATAAATTTTAAAAAAAGCGGTTAACACAATCTCTACAAAATAAAAACATGAAGCACAATATAGCTGCTTTTGCTAATCATAATAAAACTGTTTCATTCCATCTATTTTGTGAAAAATATCTTCAGCATAGTTTCAATTAATCCTCAAGAACTACAAGAACGAAGTAGTTAAGATATGGGCAAGGAAACATTGCTAAAATATCTGTCACGGTCTGTAAGAGAGTCCAAATTTTTACTTCTATACTTCAGTACTCTTTTCAAATCGTGTTTCACAAAAACATATTATCAATAAACAAAATAAAATTATTTTCTTATTACATTAGTAAATCTTTCATATTCGTTTAAACGTCGCTGTGTACGATTTAATTCTAATGTAATTTTACTTAATGCATCTTGACTTTTTGTATTTAATGCTAATAATTGTTGTTCAGATGAACGACGAGCTGTTAATAATTCTTGATTTAACTGTTCTTGATTAAGACGATATTGTCGAAGTTGTTGTTCACTTGAACGATGTTTGATTTGAATATCTTCAAAACGTGTTTTCTATTTAGATGAAATCGAAATATTTTCAACAATAAAAAAAAAAAAAAACTTTTACTAATATCTGATGTTCTTCAACCAATTGACCATAACGTGTTTCAAGAGTTTGTTTTTCTCGTGTTACTGCTTGTAAACGATTTTTATGTGATTCAAGCTACAAAAAAAATTAAATAAAGAACCATCCATCAACAACAGACAACATATGTCGTTAGAATGATCGTTTATGATGTACTGTAAAACAGTGAAATAAGATGATAAAAAAAAAATATAGAATTTATTGAAATATCTATTCAATGATATGATGTATAAGCGTGAAAAAATGTCTTCAAGTTTATTCATATTTTCTGTTATTATAATTAGATTATGGCTGTATATTCTGAGAAGGATGTATCAATCAGTCTGTCAGTTCCATAGATGTTTGCTAATGTGAAATATATCCGAGTTTTGAATCGAAAATATTTTTGAAACAATTATTTCTTATAGACTTGAATTTATCTATTATTGACATACGTACTGAAATTCGTAATTTTTCCATTGTTTCTGTTAATGATTTGAGTCTTTCTTCATCATTCTATCGAAATTTCAAACAAAAAAAATTGATTAATATCAATGTATAATTATAGATTAATTACTTCATTTGTAATTTTTTCATTTGAACGATTAACAGTTGTTTCCAATTCACTCAATCGAGATTTATAATTTTCAATTAAACTTCGTTTACTTGCTACATCACGTTCTGTATGTGTCAATCTATAAATATATACATATAACAAAATTTTCAAAAGAAAACAAACTTTTTTATTTTTTTTATTTTAGCTAGTCTATTATACTTTTCAGTTAATGATTGAAGATTTTTTGTTAATGTTTCATTATCTGTTTGTAAAGTTTTATTTAATTTTCGTTGTCGAGCCGCATCGAATGAAGTATTTTTAAGACGTGTATATAAATTATCAATATTTTCACCACTTTCAGAACTGACAGAATCATTACGTTGAGTTTCTTGTCCAGGTAATGTTAATTGAGTGAGATGATCATTTTTTAATTTATCACATTCATTTGCAAGTCGCTACAAGATAAAAAAAAATTAAAAATCAATGAATATAAATGCATCAAAAATTTCAAACTTGATTTGTCATTTTAAGAACATTAATTCGACTAAGTGTTGTTGATAAGCGTTGAGTAAGTTGTTCATTTTCTTCTCTCGAATCAGCAAGATTCATTTCTAATTGTTCAATACGTCTACGCATTCCTCCAATCTAATCGAAAACAAAAAAAAAAAACAAAACCAAATTGATTATTACATTTGTAGATGATAATTTACTCTTGTTGGAGTTTTTTGTGTTGTTGAAGGTATTGAAGGTTTTCTAATATGATGTAAATAGGAATCATGATGATAAGAATTTGCTAAGCGAATTTTATTATTATTATTTTTCTTTAATGGACCGTCTGAAATAAACAAAACAAAAATAGAATGCTTTCTATTCGAAAAAAATGTTTTTTTTTTTTATTGAATTATTGACATTTTCGTTTTGGTATTGTTGATGATATTGATGGTCGGCGTTTACGTTTCATTAATGAAGCTTGAGTATGATTATCACAAAGACTACATGTACGATGTCGTTGTCGTCGCCATGGATTTATATCAAGTCTATCAGATTTTGATGGTGATGTTCGATAAAGAATTGATGATTCATTTTGAAGATCATCGATAAATGTTGAACTTTGATTTTGATCAAGTAACATTTCTAAACATGATTTTTTTGATTTCTTTTTTATTATTCTTTTTTTTATAGTTGATGATGAATTTATTAAAGTTTTTTTATTAATAGTTTGATCATTTCGTTTTAATTTATGTATTTGATCTTGTAATGCAAGTATACGAAGTTTAAGTCGTTTTATTTCATTTGTTGTTTGTTTTTGTTGTTGAATATAATGTTGTTTTTCATCAATACATAAATCAAGATTAGTTTTTAAACGTTCATGTTCAAATATTAAACATGTTCGTTCATTTTCAAGTTCATATAATTTTTTCTTAAAGTCTTCAACAAAACGTTGTTGATTATCATTAGTTTTATTTATTAATGGTGATGGTATTTTTAATTGAGAGCGTTCATCTTTATCATTTAATACTTGAATTTCATTACGAAGTTCATTAATAACAATTGTTTGTTCATTAATTTCAACTTCTTGTAAATCAATTTTTTCATGTAAACTTAAACTAATAGAAATAAAAACAAAAGACGTTATTAAAATATATATACAAAAGTAAAACGTTTCATTTACTTTTCATTAGTTAATCTTGTATTTTCACGTCGTAATTTTGTTACTTCATTCCAAACATTATCATCATCTTCTTGTTTAAATATTTTTCTATTTGTACCTATTTGTTTTTTTCGTCGTTGATTATAACATACAGAACAACCAGATCTAGTTTTTCGTATAGCTTTACCATAAAAATAATCATTGTTTGTTTGTTTTTGTAATAATTCATCATCAGTATAGGATTGTAATTCATCTTTAATTGAACGATATTGTTTTTGTAAATGTTTAAGACGTAGCCAACGTTTATCATGAACTTTTTTTAATGTAGCTATTTGTTCATCACGTTTAACAAGTAATTGTTGAACATTTGCTAAACGATCTGTTAATGTACGAATTTTTGTTTTTAAATATTCAACATCTAATGGAGGTGATGATGTATTATCACGAACTGGAGGAGATGTACAACGTTTCTTTGGAGATGAAGATCGATGTAATCTGAAATATAAATTTAATTCATTATTAATTTTTTTAAACTGATTACGCACTTTCCAATGGATGAATTTCGTCCAATATTTTCACTACAACTTTTCCAACGATTATCTGAAGATAATTGATCCTAGATATAAAGAATATGAATAGAAGATTGATATGTTGATTAAAATAAGAAAGAGAAATTTACTGGTAGTAATTTATCTCGTACTTGACGAAGAGTTAATTTTAAATGTTCGATTTCATTATCACGATGACGTAGAGTCTAGAATAGGCAATATACATAATTTGAATTAATTGATTATTAATTAAATTTTTTGTTTTCAGATATTTCTTTATTAACTGTGTCAATGATCATTAGGTTCTTTATATGAGTAAAGAAATTGTTTCAAGCAGACGATTGCTCATTAAAACTAAAGCCTCCAGCGAGCATATTGTACAACTAGTATGTCATTAAGTGCATGCAATATTACTCAATATTTCACAAACTTTCATCATGTTTTACATTATAATCGAGAATGTCGTCTCAAAGCTTTTTTTTGTGAAGCTTACATGTTATGCCTTTGTAGAAAAATATAATAGATGTAAATACTAAGTTGAGGTTTTGCGGTTTTCTCGTACATAGTAGTCAGGGTCATAGGTCAATGAGTATATCTTTCATAACAACGAGCAAGGCAGAGTAGTTCTTTAGCAATGGAAGAAAAGTATTCAAAAGTATTAATAACAAGACTTAAACTATACTAGAAAATTCGAAAGCTTTTCTCAAAATGAGAATGGCTTTAAAATGCTCAGGAGTATTTTTAATTTGCTACGGTTGTCATATGATAAACATAAAAAGTCTAAACTGATCAAACTATAATTTTGGAAAATAATCAATATGAGCGTTTATTAGTTTATGAAGATATTTAATAGTGCTTTGAGATCTGTTGTAGATATACCGGTATGTACAATAGGCTTGTTTGTCAGTTAAAACAATATTTAGAATTAGAGTAAGGTTAAATTAAGACAAACAGAATAAGAAAATGAAAAACAACAAAGCAAACAAAAAATAGAACACCAATAACATATAGAAGAAATATCTATTTGAAATGCAAAAATAAATACGACAAATCGTTTTCCTGATGATCAATTATCTTTGAAAAACAACTCTTGCCTTCTAGGGACTATTCACACTATATATATTGTATCGGTATAATGAGGTTCAAGAACACACATATAAGTTCAATATTTTAGCACCGAAGGAATTATGCAGAAAAGTTTTATTCATACTTTTCAATAAAGAAATCACTAGATTAACTATCAAAGTGGCCTATTTAACTTTTATTATTATTGTTTTTTAATGGATATCTTATACTTTTTTCATTTATTGTTTACATTATTCGAATGTGAAATTCAATATATTATCCTTGTAATTTCCACATTCAAATGATAATAATAACAACAACAAAACAAACCTAATTAGCAGAATATACTATTGATTAAAATTATAACTATTTCAAATATATTGATTAAGATTTAATTAAATATACAATTTTAGGGATTTACTTACATTTTGAAGAGTTGTTATTTGTACTCGTAATGAACTATCTTCCAAATCTGTATCTATATTTAGAAAAAAAACGAAGTCACTTTTTTATTTTCTATAGTATTCAATGATTAGTTTACTAGTTTGTTTTCTCCTTTGTAAGTCGCTGACTTCTTTTCTAAATAAATAAACAAACAAAAGAAAAAAAATCAGATCTATAATTATCAATATAAATTTTGATTAAATCTATACTTAAGATTAACAATAGCTTCTTCTCGTTCTTCAATTGTTGCTTTATATGAATCAAGTTTTTGCCGCCAAAGTTGAGTATCAGCAGCAATACGATCAAATGTCTAATACATGAAAAAAAAAGCTAAAATTAACAAAATTTATTCTAGACAAAAGAAAAAATATACCAGAATTTTTTCTTGATTAATAGCTGCATAATCTGATTTTTCTCTTAATTGTTTTGTTAAATCACGAACATGTTCACACAAACCTAATAGTCGATTAATTTCAGTATTAGTGAAATAGAATAAAGCATCCGAAATGCCTACGTTCATTTTCAATCTGACAGTCGCGTATTGTTTTTTCAAAAGTATGTACTTGTAATTGATGTAGTTGTTCAAATGTTCGTGTCTAAAATAGTTTTCTTTTTATAATATTCAGAAAAAAAGCAAAAGAATAATGATTTTATAACCTTCTCTTCGAATTGTCGTAATTGTTCTTCAAGTGCACGAAATTCTATATTACGTTTTTTAAGTGTATCTTCTAAGTATTGTTCACTAGATAAATATAAGGAAATCGAATAAATAATATATATCGATTAAGGTTCCATTGATTCTTACCGTTCTTCAATTTTGGTAATGGAAGCATTTTTTTCTTGAATGACCCGTTCAAGTTTTTCAATTAATTGTTCACGATTTCTCGTTCGAAGTTCTTCATTATTTAATAGTATACGTTGTTGGTCATTTGTATACCTTGAATTGAAATATAAAGAAAAAAAATGATATCGTTAGGAACAGTATTTTTTTTCATATATCCGTACTGTGGTTCTATAAAGGTACTCGATGGTATTTGAATACCATTCGAAGCTGCCATATATAGGTATAGAATTTATTTTTACAAGAAAGTCAATTCATTATCGATCATTACGCATGTATTCTCCTCTTGTCACCTTGGTTACCTTCTCCTCATTGACTTCACTACAATAAAGTGCACAACTGCATTAAATATGCAGAACGACGAAAAAGATCATTGCAAAAAAAAATCGCGGTTTTTTTAAATTTTCATTGTTAAGAATTAAGAAAATAATTTTGAAATTAATTTATTCAATTTTCAATTCTAAATATTCATTTAGAATCTTTAATTGTTCGGAGGAGATCGATTTTAAATCATTGTTCATTGTTACTAAACAAGGGTCGTCCGACGACTATAATAAAACTTATTGTTAGTCGTTGTTTTTCTTTCTTTTTAAATTTAAACATCTTCGATATAATCGTCGGTTATATTCGTTCTATTTGCTTCAAAATTTAAACAGTCGATTAGCAAACTAATCTAATCTAATAATAATGCCACCAAAAAAAGGAGCTGCTGCTAAAGCAACAACTGAAGTCGATACTGATCAAAAACAACTTCAAGTTAGTTTATAACTAATAATGAATTAAGATATTTAACATTTTTGTTTATTTAGAAAAAACAAGATGAAGAAAATCAACAACCGACAGAAACCGAACAGTCAAGTCCAAAGAAAGCAACCAGTGAATCAAAAAAAACTACAGTAAGTTATATTTAATTTGAATTTCTAAAAATTATATAAATTTTATTAACTAGAATACTAAAGGTGCTCAATCACGAAAGAAAGTCGAAGCTGAAAAACTTCAACATGAAGCATCTGGTGTAAATATTTATTGAAACTCATTGTTGTTTTTAAAATCGTTTTCAATTTTAGGTTACTGAACGTACAAATACAAAATCTGAAACAGGTGAAGATACAAATGAAGAAGATAATGATGATAAAAAAAATAATAGTTCATCAACAACACAAAAAAATGCAACATCAACTGAAGTAAAATCAACAACTAAAACTACTGCAGGTCGTGGTGGTAAACGACAACCAGCAAAAACTATGCCTAAAACTGATGAACAAATTGAAGAAGATCAAGAAAATGAAAAAACAACAATTTCTACTAAAGCACCTGCAAAAGGTAAAGCTGGTGCTGCACAAAAAAATAAAAAACCTGAAGAAGATGAACAAAAAGATGCTGGTAATGAATTTAAAATGATTATGAGTATTTGATAATATGTTTGGTTTTTAGGTACAGGTGAAGAGGATGAAGCTGGAAATGAAGTTGATTCACCAAGTAAAAAAACCAAAGGTAAACCTACTCGTAGACAAGCTCAAAAAAATAAAACTACTACGCAAGAAGTTGAAAATGAATATGGTAAATAAATTAGAAAAATTTTATTTTCAAAAAAAAAAAAAGAAAAACATCTTTTAATATTTAGAACAAAACGATGAACCTGATACAAAAAAGAAAACAACTGGTAAAAGAGGAAAAGCTCCAGGATCATCAAAAAAACAAACAACATCTGTTGAAAAATCTGAAAATGAAGAAACACCTGTAAATGATGATCTTAAATTATCGGAAGATGAAGAAACAGCAGATGATAAATCTAAAGCTGCAACAACAAAAAAAGGACCAACAAAACGATCAGCACCAGCATCAGGCAAAAAAACTAATGCTAAAAAGAAAGGACAAAGTGATGAACCATTTGAAGATCATACAAATGATGAAAAAAATGAAGAAGTTGAAAATAATACTGAAGATGGTTAGTTGAATATTTTAAAAAATTTTTGTTGTTTATTAAATCGAATTTTTGTCTATAGAAGCTTCAACAGCTAAACAACAGAAAAAAGGTCGTGCAGCTGATAAAGCTCCAGTATCAACAAGCAAGGCAAATAATCGTGGTGGCAAGAGAACCAAAGCTACCTAAAAAGCAACAAAAAAAAAATCAGGATTTATTTTCATATCTTGTTACTAATTGTATAGATATAATACTCTTGTGTTTCTCTCTATTGATTCAATTATGTTTGTTTGTTAATTCTTTCTTATAATCAAACTCGATGTATTCTTTCTTCTATTTTCACTTGAACTGAATCATGCAAATGTAATTGATTAAAACACGAAAAACATTTAATAATTACCTCAAGTAAAATCATTTTACTGATATCTATAAAGAATCATTTATACGTTTCTTTTAAAATCCTATGAAATGGAATGGTGAAATATTCAAAATCATATAAACTTGTTCAATTTATTGACAATAACAAACTATTGCAATATACGCTATATACTATAAACGCATTGCATGATTGATGATATAACAGCTTCAGCTACCTTCATCGGATTGTAATGATTTTTTCCTCATAGATACTAAATACATATTGTTTTAGTGAAAACCCGAGAAGTAAACTAACTTTCATAGAAAACAAACAATGATCTTTTTCATGGATTGTGTATACAACATGCGTTTTGTTTTGAAAGCATCATATCTCACAAAGAGTTTATTCGGCAATTTAGAATTTTTTTCCTGGAAGATAATCTAGTTGATATCTCTATGTTCATACAGTTTCAGATCAAAATACGATTGGATAGTCAAATCTTAATAGAAGTCTAAATTCATTTAGGGTTTTTATTACAACTTTAGCTAATATCTGTAGGCAAAATTCAATTGAAAATGGAAGAGAGAGATGAAGAAGTCTCCTCGTAGATTGTTCCATTGGTATCCCAATAAATAATCAAGAGGATCACATCAATAGATGTATTATAATACATTGTTGATCAGCATAAAATTTAAATAAACATGTTCGAAGTGTGAACCCATTGGCTCGAAAATTATACAATAAAATCAATTAATTAGATATTGTTTCTTACATGTAATAGTATTTACTATGTGATTGAGCAAAATATTTGAATTAAAACTGATACTTCGTTGAGAAAATGTCTGTTTTCAATTAAAAATCTTACATCTGATATTAATTAATACTTAGGAATAAGTTAATTAGCACAGCTATTGTATATGATGTCTTTTATTTTTCGTAATATATGTTACATCGATATTTAAATGATCAATCAATAGAGTTTGAAGGCTTGAGTGCGGGTAAAAAGAAGACCTATACTCATACTCTCAAGCTGAACATCAAGGAAACTTCTTTATATCATAGAAAATTAAACAAAGTATGTTGTAAAACTAACATTCTTTTAGCAGACTTGTCTAAAGTTCTGCTTTTTCTTACAGTTTTATTACAAAAGCGCTCATGAAAATGTATAGAATTAACTTGCCACGAAAGTCGACGAAATTTATGCCAAAAAAATGAAAGCATTTAAATAAAAAATTCAAGAAGTTTTCTAAAATTTTTATTTCAGAGATTGTTTCAGATGGATTAAGACTCGTGCAGTTGTAAAACTTCTGTGAGATTACAACATTTTGTACGTTCCGTAAAAAGATTATTTTTGCTTGCAGTTTGACTCTATACTTCGACAGAGGAAGCTGCTACTATAATATGTCATTCTCCTAATATACCAAACCTAAGACTAAGAGAGACTTGGACTTCCATGCTTCGTCGTTTATGTTCGAAAGCTTTATTTTATTATTTTTATTTAAAATAAATCATAAACATTCAAATGTCTAACTCTGTGCATTTTTTTTATCAATGCTTCAGGTCTGCCCCGGTTCTATACGTTTTGGAAATTAAATGTTAATGCATTATCTCATGATTCAAGACTACGTCGACAAATTCATTTTCTTTCAGAAGCAAATACGTGAATCAAGCATCCATATAGTGTGTTAGAGGTTATTTTTACGGTCAGAAGACCTTGTTTAGAGGTAAACCAGTTCGATACTAAAATTTGTATTTTTTCTATTGCAATAATTGGTTGTCAAAGTCTAAATGCCCTTGTCTGTTATTATAAGTATCACTGATACCCTATATTTATTTTCTTTCAGTTCTTCGTTATATGCCTGATCATATGTTGTTTTTCCTATTCTAATTAGCTTTTTGACTATGCAAAACAATACAGATATAATAAAAAACATTGTAACAATTAAAGTCTTGCTTGTATGAAAAATAGTTATGATGGTTTTCTCTTTGCTTATATTTGTTATTTGTGTAACAACCTGTTATTATCTTATTTTTATAGAAATCAATTAAGTGAACAACTGAAATTGGCATGATACACTAATGCAAAGTTATAGAATTCAATGTATTGAAAAAATTAGAAAGATTAATCATCCTAATTTGATCTGCAGACTACTTTCTCATTTTTAGCCAGGCCTATTGATAGTTCTGTTGTCTATCTTGTTAATAATAGTATCCTATATTACATTGATATACTTCAGCTAAATCATTACTATCATTTTTGACATGAACAGTCGAGAAAAACTATTTTATTTTATTAAATTTTCATCGAAAGTGCATACAAACGATTATTTTTGTCTTTTTTTCTTCGTTTACCACTCAATATCGAATTTAATTGGCACATGATCACTGACACCCAAAGCTTCATCCAATGTCATACCGAATCGTTCTTGATAATTAACAGTTGTATTACTGTTTGGTACGATAGCATTAACAAATCTATCACCATTAATAAAAATACGATCATATGTGCATGTTTGTCGTGTGTTTGTTTTAACCTGATTATTAATTATCCACGTGAAATCAACATAATTGATTGATCTAAACAAAAACAAAGACATGAAAGATATAAAGATTAAATTTATTTTTATTTTGAATAGATTAAACTAACCGAAGTATTAATTGACGTCTAAGTGAAATATATGAGCAATCAGCATTAAAATCACCAACAATCAAAATAGGATGATTAGTTTTCAAACTTGGTTTATTATCAACTGTTGCATTAATAACATTTTGTTCTAAAGCATCAATGAATGATGTTGGTGTTTCATCAAAATATTGTGGATGTCTAAGAATAAAATCTTCAATAACAGCACGCATACTAAGTAATTCCGCATATGCATCATCAGGTCGTAAATGAACATCCATAATAGTAAAGAATTCAACACCAGATTTTTCAGGATTCTTAACTTTAAATGTACCAACAAAACTAAACAATAAATTTCACGAAAAAATAAGACAAAATAAATTTTAATTAAATTCTTACGGTGGTCGTTCAAAGAGATCATCAACATCTTCATAAAGATAAGCTTTAACAACTTGAACACCGGATGTAGCTTCACGATTGAAGAAAGCATATTGTTCTTTTGTATTTGAACGTCCAGCACGTTCACTTAATGTTAATGTATATGGATTTGAACGTGAAACTTGATTTAGTGCTTCATGTAAAACATAAGGAGCTTTTCTGGAAGCATCACTTATTTCTTGAATAATTGCCAAATCAAAATCATTAATAATTTCAGCAACAACATTTGTTAATGTTGCATTAGCAGCTTTTTTACTTCCATATTGATGTAAATTAAATGAACCGATTCTAACAGCCGAAACACACGTACCAAGTGCAATTATCAAGACTAGGACATTGGAAATAAGTCGCATCATTGTCGTAATTCTGATATTGACTTTCAAAGGGAAGTATATATGTGCGAAGTGTATTGGAATAGTGAATTGCTTCACTATTTATTTCAATTGAGTTTTACTGAGAAATTCATTGGGTTTAGTTTAGAATTACATGGCACAGGTGGTCAGGAAAAATAAAGCTTAGTTTTCTTATACACTTCATGCATATACAACCGTTTGACTTTGAAAAATAATGTTATTTTCAAGATCAATTTTCAATTTTAATTTTCTTTTTAATATTTTTTTTTTGCTTGGTCACATCTGCAATCGTCGAAAAACAGCGATACTTAACAAAACTCATCGAGGTTTCATATTTACATAGGTGCAATCAATTTTTATTGTTCTATATAAGAATAATCGATATTGTGAAATAATCGTTTTATCTATATATTAATTCGAAATTTAATATTTTGATTTAAGAGTTTGTTATTTTGATTTGAAATAGAAAAAAGATTAACAACAAGTAAATAGATGATTGGTTGGTGAAGAATAGTGTCCAGGTGTGATGAAATATTTTTGATATTGATTATTTCGATTATATAGAGTGAGTCAAAAATAACTTAGCCCTACCAATAAATAATTGAATCTTTTCGTCCTAGCTTGACTAAATGAGTTGATATTTTTTACTTATGATAAAGAAATGTTCATAATTTCTATGCATGTAGATAAGATTGCAAAGAATCGTTTTGAAGTATTTTGATCGACTTCAAAAAGAATTTTTATTCTCTCACACTTTGCACAAAAATCAACGCAGCGAAAAAAAAGTCACATTTGTAAGACAACGTATGAATAATTAAATCGCCTTTTTTTTAGCCATCATATGCTATCAAAGTGCCCTCAGATACACTTTTCTTTCTTCTTTCATTCTTCTAGGGCGCAAAAGTAATTTGCACGATATAAATCCTTTTCTTTAATGTGTGATGAAGTATACTCGAACGCGTTCTCTCTCTACGCTTATTCAATGCCCATTCTTCTAAAGGTGTGAGTGTCGGATGTAAGTTTTGGTGAAATGGGCAAAAACAAGACACTCACCCACACTCTGTACATCATAGTTACGGATCGTAATGTCTTCGAAATATAGTCTTCAATATTTTTAATTGTTTTGGAATGGAAAAATAATTTTATTTCTTATTCCCAAATTTTAGATCAACCTTTTCTCTTTTAGTAATGGAAAGTTTTTCATTTGTTCAAGTCATACCATTTATCGATGTAATTAAATTCAAATCATCTATCATCGACAATTGTTTTTTTTTTTTTATTATCTCTTCTTACTTTTCACATACGTAAAAATAGAAAGAAAAGCTGAACTCTTGTTAGTTGCTGTAAAGAAGATCATGTTCATGCATCGTGAAAAAATAGATGTAAAACAAAAAAAAAACGAGGTGGGGAAATATGTGTAAGATATTTAACAATTGATTCAAAAGAAATTAAAAACCATTTTATATTTATATAACAAACAATACACACATATCGTTCGTGAGTAGACGAGAACAAAAAGAAAAGGAGAACAGTTTCCTACTTCTTCGTCGTTGTTTTGAAGAAGAACATCATTGTAATATAAATAACTATGACACATTATATAGAATAAAAAATGAGTTAGAAAAATCCAAGCGGTTTTTTAATATTGGTTTGTTTCCAATAGGGTAAAGCATAGAATTCATTTTTAGTCATACGAAATTCTTTCTATAATGATAAAAAGAACATATACTTTTTTTTCTAGTTAAAATTAACAAAAGAACAAAATCATACATGAAAATCTGCATCGGAAAGATAAGATTCAATTTTTGATGGATCAACACCTGAAATAAAAGAATTTCATCTCAATTAAAAAAAGAAAACAAACAAAGAAATTCAAAATTAAAACCTTCTGGTAACGGACGAGCTCGAAGTTCTTCAATGGTATATTGCTCACGACATAATTCATTCAGTACATCAATAATTGAATCTTTCTGATTTAATTGTTTGCCGTCCTAAAAAATTATATCGATTATAAAATCAAATCTAACAAAAACTCTAGTTTAATTACTAACCAATTGATTTTGTTGTCGAGCTTTCATATTCACAGTCCATTTAGGAAATAAATTAATAAAATCAATTGGTTCTAAACCAGCATAGACAATAGAACATGATATATCAATAGTTGATGAACCAGTTTTTGCTAAATAAAATGAAAACAAAACTTCAAAAGTAATTTTTTTTTCTTTTTGGTATGCTTACTTTTGTAATAATCAACGGCTGTACGAAAAGCACAACGACGTTCAGTTGTAAAACGAATATCTCTTGGACCACGTGCTAATAAATTTGCATTAAAAAGTTGTAAACCAAGTTCATCATCCGATTGATCATGCCATCCTTGCCATATATATAATTCAGTATCAGTATCAATTAAACATAAAGCTGGTTGATGAAGTTCATATAAATCAGATTGTGTAAATGGAAATGGTGATATATGATCAGGAGAACGAAGTGGATAAAGAAGTTCTTGAGCAACAAATGGACCATGAAGACTTGATAAATGAAAGATACGCATAGTTGATGAAAGTTTTAGATTTGAGCGAACTAGAAGAACAAAAGAAATTATTTAAGACGAAAAATGACTATCAATCAAACAAAAAACTACAAGAAATATTGTAATTTTTCATATAAACAATATCATAAAAGTTAACTTTATATAATGACGAAGTTCAATGCATAAGATAGACTCGATTGAGATTGGAGAAGAATAAAAAGAATTTGTGTATGGTCCAGTCTTTTCTTTTGACTTATGACAATCTAATGAATTTCTAAGGAATTACCTTATTTCACTTTAGATTATTTTGAAAATTCAATTTCGACTTCAAATTTTATGCGAATACAATTCTCAATGCACCTTATTTCATTGTTAAAGTTTCAGAATTTTTATTCTTGAATACAAACATAAGCAGAACATAATATTTTGTTGAAAAATTCACTAAAATAATACTAATTCAAGAATAAAAGATCTATAGAGACAGTGTCTTTTAGGTTTTCTCTGGTCCTTCTGACAAGTAATCAGATAAATATTACGAAAGATTATTTAGCTGACTATTTCGATTTAATAAAACTTTACAACGAAGTCCATAAGTTTCAAATTATCATATTCGAATGAAGTCTACAATTTCTCTCCATAAGATAATCCTTGATTTCATGGCTTTGATATCTAGTTTTTCAATTATTTATACAATAAATTTTCTTCTTAGTATCTTCAGAAAACAACTTCACAATTTCTTCTGATGAAATAATTAATAACAATCTTAGGCATTAGTTATTCAAATTATTTTGATTGATTGATATTTAGTTTTCTTGTCTTCGTTCCAAAGTTATGTATCTATTAATATCAATAAAGCAAAGCTCATTAACGCAACTCATGAGGTGCTAAAATATGGAATTTACATGTCTGCTTTAGCCTCATTATGCTAATACCAAATACGTTAATTGAAAAAAACTCTAACAGACACCAGCTGTTTTTGCCAAGGATAATTGATCGTCAGAGAAACGATCTGTCTTATTTATATGTCTGCATTTCGAGGAAAAGTCTTTGACTTTTTTTTTATGATACACAATCCTGAAAGGATGTTAAAGTATACAGATAGAAATTCGAATCTTGCTTTCCTCATAGACATAACATCATAATATTGTATATCTTAATTGATAATTATCTATTAATCTTACTATTTAATAATGAATAATATTTTCGTTCATGATTTCGTTCATTAATTCCTTCCCAAAATAGTTCTATTTCATCACCTTCTTCCATTTCAAAAAATTCAATATCTTCCGCTTGACCATCAAAATGAAATTCTTCCGCACATCTAAATAGATCATTATATGTAAATAAAAATAAAAGTTTCCTAAACTTATTTAATTTAATCAACCTTTCACGTAATTTCATAGCTGATTTACTAGCTAAGATTTGTTGTTCATCAGTTGTTGCATAACCATGCCAAAGTAACATTAAATTTTCCATATTATTAATTAATAAAAATGATGTTCTACTACGTAAATTAGCACTATTAACAGTTAATTCCCACCAATGTGTTTCAACATCAATTTCACCAAGAAAGACATATAAACGCCAATGTGATTTATTTTGTTTCAATTGATTACGTTTACCTATATGAACAGTTAATGTACCATCAAATAATTGTAAAAATGTTGCTTCTTCATGTTCTTGTATAACATGAATCTAAATAAAATAAAATATTTTAAATAAAAATAAATCAATTAATCAAATCAATTACATGAGGTCCTTTTTCTTCATTAAAAAGTATTGTCATTAATGCTGAAAGACCTTTTTCATTTGGACTAGCATTAATACCTTGCCATATCCAATAAGCAATACGATCACGACTTATATCTGTCTTTCGTTCCAATGTATTATTATTGCCAATGGCAATCAATTTGTATTTCCATCGTATAATATAAACATCATCAGAATAAAATTGTCCATAACTTGTTTTTAATAATTCATGTCGTTCATTATCACTAACATGCCAAACATTTAATGCAATAGTTTGAATATGATGACCACGCATTTCAATAGAATCATACCTGTAAAAAAAAATGAATATTTTCAAGTAAGATTATAATAAATAAACTATGAAATAAATACAAACCAATATCTTCCTCGACCTAAATTTATTTGTTCAACGATCATATTTACTGGATTATTTTGTTTAACAAGCATTTTATATACATCAGCTGGTTTGAGTGTTTCAACAATTGATGGTGGCTAAAATTTAATATAGAGATTAACATAGATCAAAATTTTGTTTAAAATTATTTTTTTTTTCTGTAATACGTTAAGACTTAAGATTAAAAAATTCAAATAAATATATATACATACTCGTTGTGTAGATGCTGGTTTATTAATAGTATTTCCTGTATCAAGAACTGATTTGACTTCTTGAAAATAACTTGGCCAATCATAAAATTTTCCTTTAAATAATAAGGTTTCAACATTTTGATTTTGTTTTCCAAATATACACCATTCTGGTCGTTTAGTACCTGTTTGACTAGTTTGTTCATTTTTATCTAAATATAAAAAATAAATTATGAAAAAAAAAATGTGATTTTTATATTCAAATTGAGTATATTGACTTGCAAACATCGTTGTTACTTTGGGACTTGTATTTTAATTCATATAACAAAAAAAGTTACTTTAGTTTCTCGAGCATTGTGTTTAAATGCATATGAGATACATCTCGACAATTTTATCATTCTATCGCTTAAAAAATTCTCGTCACACTTTGAATTGCATTTCCATCTAATGTTATCTTCACATCTCTATTACATTATCAGATGATGCAAAGTGTGAATGTGGGTATCGACGAAGAGAAGATCTAAAGCTATGAGTGATTGTCCAAGCTCGCAACTATCTTGTCGAGCAAAGTACATAATGAGTAACTATCTGGTTCCTTTGTAGTTAATATAATGCGAACTCTTCTAGTGATATTAAAATATTCGAATAATACAACCCTTCGTTTCAAAAGAAACAATTTTATTAAAAACCTGATAGAGCTCACTAAATGCTAATAAGACATAAAATATGAGGTGTTGGCTAAGATCAATTGTTAGCAAAAATTCTTATTCTTCGAAATCTTTGTTTCGTTGTGAATACTTTTCATTAGTATGGACAGTCAAAAAAAATGTCACTTTCGAACTCAACCAATAACTTGAAAATTTTATTTTACATGTTTAAAATGCGTTATCACAATACTACAAACCGAATAAAAGACAGAAAATAAGACCAAATTTTTCAATGGATGGAAGTTTTCTTCTAAATCTAGGAACCGTATGTAGAGAACTTTGCTAATCAAATATGTTCTTAAAACTATTTAGTATTCAGTAAGTATTTTAAACCAAATATTTTTACATTGCTTTGCAGAAAAAAGACTTTATTATTTCTAACAAGAAACTATCAAGTCTTCATGACGATTGACCAGATCTTTAAAAAAATATTACTAAAAGCTTCTCTTCTGACCACAGAAGTATTATATCCTAATTTCAGTAAACTCTTTACTAATTATTTACCATCAAGTGGATCAAATGGATTAATAATACATTCACTAAAGTCATATGAATCATTCCATAATTGTTGTGCTAATTGTAAACCCATATTTCGTTTTGTTTTATCAGCATATTTACCATTCCAAACATATAATTCTGAACCAAAATCAAAAACAAATACTTCATTTGAATCAAGAATTTTAATTGATAATGAACGAAAACATAAATCATCTAATGGCATAAGTAAATCATTTTCCACACGATACACACGATTTAATTCTGTTATATTCGCTTCATAAAAATCATCATCGATTACATAATCTATTGATTTATAATCATCGTGTTCACCTTGTAAAACATCACGAAATTCTGCATGACTATCATTTTCTGTATCATCTTTAGCTTGATCCAAAATAAAATATTTTACTTCATTACGTAAACCAAAATCACGATTTTGTTTTAAATAATCAATTAAATCTGTTGTTTTAGCTTTTTCTGCTGCATTTGCATAACGACCGAACCATGCAAAAACTTTTAATGGCGTTATTAATAAATAACAATCACCTTCATTGATTGATTCATATGTTGGATTAACAAGACGTAATGAACATTGACGACGTCCTTTTATTAAAATAAGCATTAATTCTTTATATGGTTCAAAACCAAATTTTGCAACAGGTGATTGATCTATTCTACGTAAATTTACTTCAGCAAAATTTTCTGTTGCAGTTAAAGTTGCTAAAGCTTCTTGAGCAAGACCAGCATTTTCAGCAACTAAAAAGAAACGGATATGATTTAATAATTAAAACAAAAATTGTCACATTGAAATGAGTAAGACCTATGAAAAGAGTAACATTATTATGCATTTATTCTGATATATTAGAAATGGTGTTTTTTTTTTATTTGCAAAACAAGACTAAGAACAACCTAACGTTTTATGAACGAAGCAAATATTCGCTATTACAGTTCCCATAGTGAAAGAAAACATCAAAATTTGATGACCTTCATATGTCCATGATGATTATTATTTATCATATATATGCTTGATTATTGAATATATCACGCATCTTTATGAATACAAAATGCAATTTGACAAGCTCTTTCAAATAAAAAAAAGAATTAAACTCATAAAATAAAGGCCCACAGAGAATTCTAAGTTACCCAAAGAGTTATTTTAGACTTGTTTACTGGTTATTTCCTTAGAGTGTCATGATATAACGCTAAAGATGTCATATGATTTGACTGTACTTGGCCCAAGATCAAGTTTTGAAGGGGCAAGGGCTTAATTTGTAGTTTTTTATTAACAATTTTTGATATAAATAAACCTTGAGAAAAAAAACTGTATACTACATAATTTTAAGTTAGTATGTATATATATATTAGTGTCAGTTTTTTACTGTTCGAATGGTACCTATCTCAGTATATATTTCATTTAATCTAACTCGATAAGATACAATATAAATAGATTTTTAGAATATAAAATACATGCTACGATTTTTTTATTTATATTTTCTAGTTAAGAATAAAATGATCCAAGTAATAAGGAAAAAATTTTCTCACGCAAGTTTGCATGAGATAATGATTGAAATTTTTTTCTAAGAGCAAAAAAAAAAACTTTTTTTTCTTCCATACTTTGTGCTCGTTTTAATCGACGTAATTCTTGTTCGGAAAGATTAGTATGTATTTCTGTATATTGATCTTCTGTTGGTATTGTTGCTTGAATTTGTCGAAGTGGGTTTTTTGCTCCTTGTTGTTGACGACGTGGAGGTCGAACACGAGATACTTGTGATTGTAATCTGATTAAATTGCAAAAAAAAAAATAATAATAATTGTATTGTTATCAAAAATTTTATTTTACCGAACAGTATTTTCAGCTATTCGATTCAAATCATCTGTATTCAATTGAACAGATGATGATTCATTATTTAAGTTTTTACTTGCATCAGCAAAAAACTCATCAAGATGATCATCTGGTTTTAATACAGATATTGTATCAGATTTTAATACAGAAACAATATTTTTATTAGGTTTTGATAATGCTAAATAAATTTCAATTGAAATATGAAAAGAAAAAGAATGAATTATTGAAATATATTGCTTACTTGTACCATTGGTTTTATTAATTGGTAACACTATTTGATTAGAATCCTTAGCTTTCACGATTGAATCTAAAGAAAAAGTAAAATAAAACAGATATAAAAACATGCTTTTAAGATAAATGAACATCTTCTATTGAATTACTTGTCTGTTCAATATGAACATTTTTTTCCATACATTGTCCCATAAGACTTACACTGTTCTTTTTTTTTTTTGCTTAGTAATCTTTATGATAATGATGATGATAATACATGTATTTTGTCACATCTTCAAAAAAAATATCTAATCCACCTCCGTCTCTGACTTTGTCAACAAATAACAAGATACTTTATGTCATCTCTTTTCGTAAAAATAGGTTATATGTTATTGTCGATAAAGAGACTAAGTAATCAAACAACTTCGATAGGAAAAAAAAACAGAAAGAACAAGAGAGGCCAACTTTTTTCCTTTATCAACATTATGTAAGACACAACGTTCTATATTCATGTTCAACCAAAGCAAAACAAGAAATAGCTTGCGGCATTACTATGTAACTAACTGTTCTTAACTGACACTATGTCAGCAATCGGTCAATGAGTTAATTTCAATGTATGAACGGCAAATGTGGTTAGATAAGTGTGAAAATAGTAAATAGATTATGGAAAGAAAGGATGATGTAATATCAAAGTAATATATAATAATTTCGTATTTACCAGCTTTAAGACGAACAATATCCACTGTTTTAGCATGATGTTGTTTATCTGTATTAGGTTTTTTTGCATTATATTTTAATGTTGGAGTTTTACGTGTACTAGTTGAAATTTGTTTTTGTTCGTTGGTTAATGTTGAAGGTTTTTCTGATGAATTTTCTGATGCTAATTTATTAAGTTTGTTTCGTTCTATTTCATCGAATACTTTTAATTGTTCAAGTCTAAAAATATATCAAAAATTCATATTTAAACTTTCATCAATATTCATTAACATACCTTTTGCTCACTGATATTATACTGTTTGATTCTTCTGGATTTGACATAATTGCATCATCTGAATGATTACAAATAAAAAAATTTTCAATATTTAATGATGATTAAAAGAAAAATACAAGCATACTTAATCTATATTTATATATAACATGCTGTTCATTTCCAAGTGAAAATGATGCATCTGATAATGATAGGGAAGTATCATGCATATGATATTTATCATTCACTGTACATATACAAAATACAAGAAAGTTATTCATGCATATTTTAATTAATACATACCAGGAGCTGTGGATTCTAATTGTTGTGAACTTGATGATGGTGTTAAATTAACAGCGGCTTGAACTTCTTCAGCAGTAATAGGCTAAAAAAAACAAAAATTTTCAATAGATCTTTTAAATTTATCAAGAGAATTCAAATAAATTTCTCATAAAACTTCTAAAAAATTTATAAATTAATACTTGTGAATGTTTGATCATTAAGATTTACTTACGAGAGAACTTTTCAAGTAAATGTATGTTGATTAAATAGAGCATAGCTGACAATGAAACAGCCTTAGTTAGTTTAAAAGTAAATTTCTTCTAGTAGTAGTTATGATTCTTTCAAAGTACGCTGTTGAATCTCAATTTTCTCGAAAAGCAAAGTTTTATTCAGTTAAAATTTATACTGTACCGATCCCAAATATTCCTTATCTTGTAGTTTCTTTGTTTAATAATGAAAGATACATATGAGCAAAGTGTTTGTACTATTCTGACATAAAGCCAGACTATTTATTGAAAAATTACGAAGTTGTTATCTATTCTTTTTTATCGGTGTGGACAAAATCATTTCTAATAAGATGCATATGTATATGTGAGTGTCAAACAAAAAGAAGAAGATGAGAGAACATAGAAGGAATTGATTTTCATTTATTGGCTGTTCCAATTATTGTAGCATGCTCGTAACAATCTTGGGAATGTACGAAAGAAAAACAAACACAATTCGAAAATATTGATAAGGAAGACCATCTGGTTTACTATAGCCTCAAGAATAGAAAATAGATAAAGTGAATAGCATTACACAACTACTTCAGGAAAATTCATCTGAGAAATTTTTAGTTCTATTATTATTTACTCTATGTTACAAATGAACATATTGGCGAACAGTTGTTCCATGTATTTGAGTTAATACAAACAACAATTTCATATAATCAAGAGAAAGAAGCTACGCTAAAGCATAGTACATCGGACGATGAAATAGACAGGTACGAAAAAAGTTTTGATTATACATATAAAATTTGAAACTTTGATTCACTTTTATGAACCTTTAATAATTGAATACATAATATTTTGAGTAGAGAAATTTTCCAAAGAAAATTAATACTAGAGAATCTTTACACATACATGCATTCTGATTCAGAGCGTATTTGAACAATGAATTGTGATAGGAAATCTTTAAATGCATGTTTATATTCATTCGAAGAGCAAGCCCATACTTAAATCTGACTGTAATAAATGAATTGAAATTTCAATTATTACACTATTGCTAAGCGGTAAAATTTGGAACCTTATTAATAAATCAGAAGATTTTTAATTCCTTCTAGAAACAACTTGTACTCAAACCAATTGAGCGTATTTCATATTTACGAGGGAACGACTTCGAATGACACCCGCCATTTGAGCTTATATGAGTCCCAGAAAAAAATCTCCATGATACTAGCAAAAGTTTAAAAGGGTTTGTCATTATGCATCTTTGACGTTGAGTTATTTACTGTATTTTTTACCCATTCTTAGATAGTTTCCAAAAAATCAAGTAAGAAAGTTTTGGTCCAAAGAAAAAACTTTTCAATACTTCGAGAAGTTTCCTCATTAGACATCAATAAGACTATTCTGTTGATTTTCAAAGAAAAATTTTGATGTTATTATAACTATCAAAGATATGAACTCATGTAAAATATTATATTGAAACAATGACAATCAATTTTTAAGTGTATTCATAAATAAAATACCTGTGTAAGTCGAATTCGATTATTTTTTAATGATGATGTTGGTGCTAATCCCATAGGTTTCTTTTTATCAAATAAAGTCATTTTTTCTTTAAATGATAATTTTGAAATATCATCATCGAATGTCTCATTTTCAGTCTTCTTATCTGATGAACTTTCATTATTTTGATGCATGAGAAGAATATTTTCTGTATATGCACGTTGTTTTTCATTAGCATATTTTTTTGTTATTGGTGATGCAAGTGAAGAACTAAGAAATGAGTTTTTTTTTAATTTATCAAAATATAAAAAAAAACTTAATTTTACTCTTCATATTTGAATGGTTTTGAACGTGGTAAAGTACCACCAAATTGTGTATCTTTTGAAATTGTTTCAAATAAATTTCTTTTATCAGAAACAGTCATATTTTCATCAATTCTAAAATTTATAGATAAAGAATTAATCTATTTAAGATGAATGTTTTATTTTTTTTTTTGTCTTGTTACATACTCATTTGAAATTGTTTCTTGTTCTACTTGTTCATCATTTGATAATAACAAATTTAATCGTTCAATAGACATTTTAGCTCGTTTATCATTATGATTTTGAATGTCAATTGGTAGTTCAACTGAATGAGCTTTTTGAAAATATTTAGACTTTAGATCTAATGGTGATGATGTTGCATCATTAGGTGATATCATTAATTCATAATCACTTTTTGATATTGGTAATGAACGATTAAATTGTTGTTCATCGTATGTATTAGGTTTTTGAATTGAACGTTTATAATCTTCAACTTTACATCGACTATTACGTTTTCGGATTATTTCAGAGAGACCACGTTGTTTTTCAACAGGTAAATGTATTGAACGATTGGTGGTTGCTGTTGTTGATGATGATGCTGATGAATCATTATTTTCATTTAATTGATCAAACATTTGTTCAACTGATGATCGAAGTGGTCGAATTAAATTCGTTGTTTTCGGTGGACTCTCACGTGGTAAATCAATTAATTTTGGAAAAAAAGGTGGTTGATCAAATATTTGTAATGATACTTCTTCTGATGAATATTGGTCCTTTCGAACATTCATTGTACGAAGACGTTCAAATGGATTAAGAATCACTACATTTGATAATGGTCGTATTTTTATTATAGGTAATGATGATGAATCAACTAGATATATTTTAAAAATTAAATAATTGAAAAAACCAACAAACTCCGAAAACTTACTATTAACTGGTTCATTGATAAATAATTCTTGATTTTGTACGACTTTTTCTTCTTCTATTGAATCGGTTGGTATAACTATATATATCGAAATAAAATAATAATTTAGAATTTAATTTATACATATTTTCATATTATTAATTAATGATTAAGTATATATACATATATGATTGAACTCAATATCTTACCTTTTTCATTCATCACTTGATCTTTATTTATATTAAGATCATTGATAGCATCGTGAAATGTATCATCAGCAAGTGGTGATGAATAAACTTCGTTAACTTTTTCATCAATAAAATCATGTCGTTTTGTAAGTGGTGTACCTGAAGATCGTGCATAAAATTGAGATTCAGCAAGAGATATTCCTGATGGTGGTGGTGGTGGTTGTTGTTGGTGATGTTGTTGTTGTATGATATCTTCTCCTTCTTTTTTTTCATTTATTGATATAGTCTTTGGTTTTGTTATAGAAGGAGTTGCATCAACCATTGCATATGTTTGATCATTAATTGTTTCATTCTTACGAACAGAATTAGTAATACCTGTACATGTACCATCATTACCAATATTATGTACTGATATAGCTCGTGTATTGTTACGTGCATCTCTTTCGGGTGATGACAACTCTATTGAGTATGAAAAGAATATTGTTTTTTTTTTTTTTCTGTAGAATAAACAAGCAACGCAATACCGATACGTAAGTATGAATAAGACAAAGAACATGAAAAATGATTGCTTTGTATAGCCATAAGGGAAATAATATTGACAAAAATACAAAAGGAATGTGTCTCAACAAATTTATGACCGTATGTAATATTATTTGTGTTGTCAACCGATAGAAAAATATGATTAACAAAGTTATTTATTGAAATATACGATGACAGATACTACAGAAAAACATCTTTTTACTATCTTTGTCATCAATAGATAAGAAAAAAGAGATTCGTCATTGATATTCTGTTTCCAATTGAAATTTCTCTTATTTTTCAGAGTTGTTTGAAAAAAAAACCTTGTATTAATAATGACCTTTCCAAATGATTTAAAGAACAAAGACTTGGGTAATGTTGATTTAACCCAGAGCATTTGTTTCTGATACTTCTATCCAGATGTGTTCAGATCATGGTGGCCTTAAAGACAATGCTAAAATAATGCGTCCTCGTCAATCTGACGTCAAAAAAAAAATTCATCTATTGGCCTCTACTAACGTCTCAATAAATTTAGGTTTTAGTTACTCGTCTTTATATTTATGATGTATAATCTCAGCATGAATTCATCAAGTTTTATATTCTCATTGGAAGAATAAATATCAGCTGAATACTATTCCAAGACATATAAATACATATATATGTATATAACTAGATGGATCTCTTGTTAAGATAACACTAAGAGATGAATGTCCTTCTTTTTGCAAAATATTTGCGTAGGCAAGTCTCAACTAAGTAGATACTATAACTTGTGTGTGCTTATCGATCTACTATTTTTATTTTATGACAAACAAAAAACTTACCAGGCAATTTTCCATCCGATTTAGCTACGTTTCTTGAGCTTGTACAGAGCCTAAAGAAATAAAATCATCATATAAATTAACCTTTGATGTATAGTAATAGAATATTAAAAAAACAAAAAGTTTTCATGAATATAATGAAAAGAAAAAAGTCAAATTAATATATACATACCACGCTCCCATGATGTATCAATGGAAAGTTCAATTGGAAAGAGTAAAATTTCGCCAATAGGAGGAGTAAATTTTAAAAAGACGTGTATTTGTATTTTTACTCCGCTTTATCTATTTTACTAAATCAGACTAAATAGTAACATACATGTATATATATAGGTATCAACATATGTTTTTGGCCTATCATTCAACTGAATATAGTCAACCAACAAAGAAAAAAACAATTATCGCAACGGAATTTGGATACAATTGACGATAGACTATAGATGTGCAACAAAAAAAAGAAGAAAGAGAGTAATATTATTATTCTAGAGAATACATGAACGTTGTATGTCAGCAACAGTCCTATTTTTGTCTTGATTATATAAACCTTATTGTATATAAGCATAAGTTAGGAACGATAAAGACGAAGAGGAAATAAGAAATAGCAACTTATTTATGTAGAGTTCTTTTTGATAAACGCAATGCATCAATATCTCCATGTTGCAGATGACGATAGTAGGTGGAGGAGCCAAACGCAAACGTCATTCTTATACATACATCAAGAATCGTTTTTTTTTCTCTCTTTCTGTTTTTCTCTATCTTTCTCTGCTTTTTTTCCTATTGTCGATATAATTGTATTATTCTTTCTTTTTGAGTATTATACAATTGCTTAAAGTGTCTTGTTAAGGTCTTGTCTTTTTTTTTTTATACTGTATTCCACTTTACACTTATGATCATAAGTGTGAACATTAAGTGCATAGTAGCGACGTGAAGAGTGAACAAAAGTTAAAAGTAATGTGGCATTAATCATCATTTCTTGATACTGTCAAGCTGAGTTTATCTACATTTAGCTCTAATATATTTAAGTATCTGTCTATCATTAATTAATGTTGAGTATATTTGTCTGTCAATATTTTAAGTCTAAAAAGAAAAGAAGTTGAAATATATAGTAACCTTGTTCGATGACAAGAACGATTATCTGTCTAATACAAACAAAAAATCTATTCATTTACACGGAAGTAATACACAAGGTTTCGTTTCTGTTTCATCCATAAATACGTCATTATATGTGTATGTAAAGAAAAGCAATTAGTAAGAACGATGGGATCATATTTATACAAGGTTCTTAGTTGTTCTTCGATGAGCAGATGTGTATTTATACTGATAGATAATAGAAAAAAGAAACAAAGATCGATCTCATCATAATCTAGACGACTTTGATTTTCTTTTTCTATTGTTGTTATTGACATTTTTAATATTAGATTGACATTGATTGATATATCAGTATTACAATCATAAAACAATTTTTACTTTTGTTTTTTAAAGGTTATTCTGTGGTTATTATTTGTTACATCATCAAATTAGACCGATTAAAAAAAAATAAACATAAAAAACCAACAAAAACATTTCAATTCATGTATGATCAGATTTATACTCAATGACTTTGTCTAACTATGATGAAATGAAAATAGCTTTGAAAAATCCACATTCAAAAGACCACAAATGATAACAGCAAAAAAATATATGTATTATATATATATCTATATTTATATATATACGCAAATAGTAAATCCACACTGTTATTTTTGTTTTTTATCATTATGTAGAACAAACAAACAAATACTGATCAACATGATATGATGTGAAAAAAACATAAAGAAAGTTTAGGATATTCTGTCATATAAAATGAAGATACATTATGACGTCGTGATGGATATTCATTCACCGTCCGATTGTCCTATAACGGAGAGAAGACGAATTTGATTTTTTTGTTTTATACCATGATTGATGCACGATCACCTATCTAGTTGACAGCAAAAAGTATGCATGTGTCACGGTCGAATTTCATCAATCACACAAAAACCGAGCATATCAATATGCGAATGCGATCGTGCTACCGAGCAACATAACAGGAGAGAAGGGTAGAATGAGAGTGAACGCCGAATGTTACCATAAATCTATATCTGGATATAGAGATCATGCATGTGATAGGTAACAATATTTAGCCGAATTAAAAATATAACATTCATTAAGAAAAAAAGAATAAGGAATAAAAATGAGAAAGTATTTATACGCATTAAAAGCATTAGCAGGAATTATATAAAAACTATCAATCGGTCTAATTTGATGATGGAACAAATGCTGTCAACTAGATATGTTTGAAAATAAAGAAAAGAAAAATAGTGATATATCTTACTTTCTTGGTTTTGGTATCCCACAAACAGAATCATCACTATCAAAATCAAATTCTGCTGGTTTAGATACAATTCTTCGATTGCTATTATTATTATTAATTGTGTTTTTATTTCTTCCATTTAAATTTGGTTTTCGATTATTAAACGTTATTGAGTCAAGAGATTTATATCGAAGTAAAGCAGCTCGATTAACACGTTCAATATCAGCTGTTGATGACGATGAAGATGATGATGGCGATGATAAATTTTCTTTTCCACCTAAATATTCTCTACTTGTTGATTTTTGTTGTCGATAAGATTTATTCAAGTCATTATGTATTGTTGGAGACATAAATGATGATGGTTCTTGATATAAATCAACACTTTTCGAACGTTTCATTTGTTTACGTTTTTGAAAACGACGACGAGATGGTTGTTGTTGTCCACTATTTATTAAGTCATCTTGTAATTGTTGTTGTTCTTGCTCAATAATGCCTGAACGGTTTGGTTTTTCTCTTTGTTGTTGATAATCATTGATTACGGTTGTTAATGCAGGTCGATAATGATAGGAAGTTGATGGAACATAATTATCATGACCTAATATGGGCGAAAATGTGTGCTAGAAAAAAAGAAACCAATTATGTTTTCGTTTTTTTTTTAATGGAAAAAAATAATTGAATTCGATCATGTTATCTGATAGGGCTATTCTTACCATGCTAGAATGAAATTCTCCCTGCGTAGGTGATGGATATTTTTGTTGAAAATTATTTGTTGATGAAGTCAAACCAGTAGTACGTCCATTATATGATGGAATATTAGCAGATGGTAATTGATGCAATGAACCGTGCGAAAGCGATTCAGATAATAACATTCGGGGTGTTATATATGAAGCAGAATTAGATAGAGGTTGAGAAGAAAGTGTTGGATATGCAGGATTAGGCGTAAGAAAATCTGAATGATGAACATTAGGATGACGAATCATGCCACCAAGGGAACCTGCCGATGAGGATGTTGATGAGTTCGTTGGTGTATTTCCCATGCTATCAAAATTAATACGTGCTTTTAATGGTACTGCTACTGTTGCTGTTGTTGTTGTTATTGCTGCTGGTGCTGTTGTTGTCGTTGTCGTTGTCATTGTCATTGGTTGTGATGTTGATTGATATAGTGGACGCACTGTATTTGTATTTATTGAATAAGGTTCGACTTTTGCGACATTTCTTGGACGTATTGTTGTTGAATCATGATCATTTAAACGGCGAAAACAATAAGCATCATGTGAAAGTTCTGATGAAGGCATTAAACTGCTATTGTTCGGACGACTACCCAATTCTGGACTAAAATGCAGATATATAAATAAACAAATGCTGATCAATCATATCCAATATGTCAACAGAAAATAATAGAACAAGAAAAAAAAAAGACTTATATAATATACATGCATACACAAACTAATTGCTCAGATCAACACTATCTTAAGGCATAATAAATGGTAATAATAAACTTGCTTTAAAGCATGAGTATTGTCGAGTCAAAAGTAAATCCCCAAGATCTAATAACAATATGTAAGAAAAGAAGAAACATAGTTTTGATTAGACGTGAACGAAGACAACATGAATATGAATTTCTATTGTATTTATTTTTGATTCCTGATTTATTCATTTTACAGCAAAATAAGATCTTTACAAGTTAATGTTATTCAAAATAGTACTTGTTAATATTTCTGCTTATTCAACAAATGATAGACAACTAGTTACAAGATGTCATATATATGTGTAAATTGCTATGTATGCGTAGTCTATTTCATTGTATGTTCAAGTTGCAGAGATAAATAACGAAAATTGTCGACCATTTTTCTGTGATTATCTTATTGATTAGTTTCTTACAAAAGAGCAAAAAGAAACGGAACTTTCAGCTTTCTTTGATTGCTATTGCTTAGGGGGGGGAGTATTACATATAAATAGTCTAATAGTTCTACATTTACTTTCAACACTACATCAGATTTTTTTTCCATCATTATCTTCTACTATTTCGTAATCTATTCCTATGTAAGACGAGATAGTCCATGTTTAATCACTTTCACAAAAGACCTAGATAATTATCCATTGTACTGGTCATAGTGTTGAGAAACATGAATTTTTTCTGACAAATGATGAGTGATGTATTAGAAGAAAAAAATTATAAAAAAAGACTGTCCAAACGAGTTGTGGGCGATATAGAGTGTTAATGGATGATGCATTTGTCTATGTCATTCACTAGTGTATAATCCAAGGTCGTCATAGCACCCGATCTAACTGTCAATCAAATATGCATATGTTTTTTCTGTACTCTGATCTTATCAATTCTATAGATTGTTTATATTTATCTATGAATTTTATAGGTTATTAAATTGCGTACCTATCAATTGTTTTTTGACTTTTGAGTATTGGTTTTTTATTAATAAATGGTGACGTTGGTGTAACATCTTGAACAATAGTTGTTGGTTTATTTATTATTTGTTGTTGAGATTCAATTGAATTTAATATTGGAGGAGAATGTTGAACAGATGATGATGTTAAATTAGTTTTATTATTAAAATTTAAACGTTGACTAAGATTTGAATCGATTGAATCATGTCGATGACTATTATTTATAGACGAATTATTAGTTAAATCAAGTGATGATTTTGTAGCAAATAATTGTTTTAATTTTTGTACACATGAACCAGTATTAATAATTGGTGCTGAATTTTCATCAACATCATCAATATTATCGTCTTCTTCATTATTTGTACTATTAATTCCCATTGAACTTTTACTTCGACCAAGTGTTATTCGATGAAATTCTTTTTCTTGTTGTTGATTATTAACAATTGATGATGGTGAAGGTGAACGAACAGGGGTTTGTTCTTGTTGTAAACGTAAATCCCATTCAGATTTACTTAATGCTGAACATACACGTTTTGTTCCAATTGTAATTAATGGTTGATAATTAGTGGATGTATTTTCATTTATTAATGGAATATGTGGTTCAATTTCAATTGTTAATGGTTCTGTTTGATGAGGTTGAACAATAAATTCTGAACGTGATTTTGATGTATTATATTTAAGTATTGGTCGTAGGGAATTATTTATCGATGCTGATGGTATTGGTTCAGGTTCATTTATTGCTTGTTGACGTTGAAGACGCGGTATAGACGATTGTCTTTGAGGTATTTCATCTTCATATGTTGTAGTTAATGATCGACGTGATAAAAATGGAGAAGAATCGGGTGTTTTTGAAGCAACCGTACTCCATACACCTCGTGTATTTTCAAGTGAACGACGTGCTTGAATACCAGTAATATTTGAACCTACTGGATCATAACGACGAATTAAACGAAGAACATTTGAATCCATCATAATAGTTGATTTATTATTATTACCTTCTCCAGGAATGGAAGATGAAGAAGGAATTTTTGTTGATTCATCAACATCAACATTCTAAAAAAAGAAAACAAAATATTTAAATAAATTATGACCTTGAACTAGTTGTTAGAATGTATAAGATGCACATCATATAGTAGTCTGTTTCATATACAAGAAGTAGAAGGGGGTCTGGAAAAAAAAAATCTTGCTCGTCCATCTTTCTTCTTTTATTTTCACACGACAAATAACTCAGCGTCGATAGGAAAAAAAAGACAGAGAAAAGAAAAAAAGAAGAAAGAACGAAGGGAAAACGATATTGGCATCCTACGTATACGTACGTACAGATTGTTCTAATGATCAGACGCGTGTGCGTCCAAAAGAATATGGTAGCAATAGCTATCGGAAGAAAAGAAGCAAGAAATGGCAATAGAAATAACAGCGAGCCACTATCATCATTATCCATTATCGTCTTGCTGTCTTGCTATCATCCATAAAATAGTCGAAGAAAGAAAGAGCACCGTATGTGTCCCTGAACTGCCCAAGATATAACGCTTACGATAGTCAATTGATATCTTGTAGAAAATAGAAATGTCGATCAAAATTGATGAATTTTCTTAACCTACCAATAGAATTTTATTTCCTTTTCTTAAACATGCAAATGGTTTTTGTTGTTCAGATTGTTTTTGAACATAACGATAACCTCTTTGACCTTCTTTTGTTGAAGTAATGGTGCTATATTTAATACTATCATTGTTGTTATTGTTGTTGTTGTTGCCGTTTTGACTCTTTGTTACTTGGATTGGTAAGAAAACGGTTCCGACATTTACTGAAGATGCAGAAGCTGAAGACGAAGAAGAATATGAGGAAGAATATGATAATGATGATGGTATCGTAGAACTAATAACCATTGCCATATCGCTATTTATAATATCAACTGGAATCGAACGATTTAATGGTTTCTATAGAAAGAATAAAATAAATACATACATTTCGTTCATATTTAGGTGCATAAATATAGATGTACCTGATTGAATGAGGTACTATTCATAGGAGGTGGTGATTTTTTTTTAATAATAATCATTGATGATGATGGCATTCCACCTAATTTTCGACGTCCATTGATAATTAATGGTCGAAAATCCATTGATTTTATTTCTGAATTCGATAATGTTGCTGGTATTCGATAGGAGTTAGGATTTGTTTGTTGACTTGTAGAAATATTTTGACTTGTTAAAGATTTTCCTATTATTGGCTTTTCATACGTTTGATTACTTACTGAACAATGTATAATGGTGTCTGGAGTAGATCTATTTGTGATTGTATTTCGACGTTTTGATTGTTCATATTCATCAAATGGAATACATTTTCGTTTTGTTAACACATGTAAATTTTCACAATTAGATTTTGGACTCGATACATATAACTTACTAGAATTACTTCTCATTATTTGTCTTGGTTGTTGATGCACATTGTTCTTCAAATGATCATAGATATCCGATGCTGGTGACATATTCACTATAGAAATCTACATAAATGATAATGAGAAAAGAATAAATCAAGAAAAAGAAAGTTTCTTGCTGACTGTACGCATATTTAAAGTCATCAGTATATTGAGAACATTTAAAAACAAATGGTAGGAAAAAAAAGAGGATATACATATGTAATATCCTCATACTTTCTTTGAAGGAGAAGATTGAAAGCATCACATCATACGACTGTCCAAATATTCGATTTCGTTGAAGTATTATCCGCTTAAATGACGATACTAACATTGAATGTTGTTCTTTGCCTGCGAATGTCTTACTTCAACACAGAAATAGAACAGCAGAAGGAAAGAAATAGTAAAATGAAGAACAAAAAAAAGGAGGCTAAGAGCTACAAATTGAAAGACAATATACAACTGTACGACAAGAGAAAATGAGAGAGAGAAAGAGACACACAAAATAAACATACATATATATGCATACAAGGCGAAAGTTTTCTTGCCTAATCAAGTTGAATATGTGACGAACGTTTTGGGTATTCATATGAAGACTATAACTGCAGTCAAAACTATTCACTAAGACTGTATGTATTATAAAACCCAACAGGTGTTCATAGACTTTTTTTTTTTGAAATTTTATGTTAAGTAAACAAAAATAAAGAAGAACCTATTCAACAGCAATATCTCACAAAAGAAAAAAGGATTAGTTAAAAGATAGATGCATTGTACAATGGACATGAATAGTAAAGTGTACAAGAAAAGAAAACGACCGAGAGCATACATTAGCTACATATATATGTCAATGTTATAATATTAGTCCTTCAACCTAAATTCAATTGGTATCAAAACGACAAGTGTAGGTGTATATATGTATTAAATACAATGTATTGTCTCTCGATCAACAAATTATGTTTTATGCAATGGTTGATCTTACTTTCTAGACAGAAAGAAACCAAGAAAATGATCGAGAAAAAAAAGAAAAACAAAAATTATTTCTATCAATGTCATATTAAGCTAAACAATACAGGTATATATTCATGTCGGACAAATTTTCTTTTTTTCTGTAAGAAAATAAATGCTAGGAATAATAGCCTTGAAAAAGTACAAATAAAACAGGTATTTTTGTGTACATTGGTTCAACTGATTAAATCATATGAACTAATTCAAAAAGAAAAACTGTTCGATTAGAAAAGATTTTTGAACGTGTAAAATAGACAGACAAACAATTTGAACGATAAATCTCGTTCGTTCTCTCCCATTGAAAATGGTTAATGAGATCTCAATTTGTTCATCCCAATATACATATTGTCTATTGACATGACATTTTGTTGCACGACAATGTATAACAACTACTTGCATATTGTCGAGTCTTTCTCATAGTACTAATCAATAATAGTGATAGTTACCAAAGAAACATAATTAATACCTGCATGCCAATAAATTTAGTGACAGATGTTAAGTTAATTAAAGTACAAACGAGATGTAATGTGTAGATATCGACAATAGAGATTGTAAGATATGTGTGTTCTAATAAGTTTCGGTTTGTCTCATCTTTATATCTCGTTTTTCTCTTTTCTACTTATTACAATGAGTGGTAAACGAATCAATCATGCGCATAATAAGAATATTTATATATATATATATATGATTGTACTAGCAAGATTGTATTCATAGTTTGCAAGCTAGTCAAAATAAAAATAACAAACAAAAAAAAAAACAGAATAGGAAATGTTCAAGTGTGCAAGTCTGTTTCTCATTTAATCTCTATTGTTTTATCTTTTACTTGCCGTTAGATGATTTGATGATTTGATAGACGAGAATTTCTTCATTTCGTCAGGTAATAAGCAAAGATTTTATCAATGTTGCCTATACATATGAATCAATCATAATGTCTAACAAAATCGTTTTGTCTATGTGTCAACGAGAAACTTATGTGTTCATTCACTTTTCTTCCTCTTATCAATGACGAGAATAGACATATACAAAATATCATACATATATATGTATATATAATAGAAAAAATAAAAATGTCTAATCAAAAACGGTTGCAATAAGCAATAAAAGTGCTGCATGACCTTCTCTCATATGGATTCCATTTATAAGCAAGCGCAAAAAGACGATGATTGGCATCTCTTCTATAGACATGTCATTGAAGATTGCGCAAGTGATCTGTCATCGACACTTGTGTGTCGATGAAAGTATACGCATATGTACCAGATGATATGCTGATCTTGACAAATGAACATATTTTTTCAGGCTTCTTTTCAATCTGACCTAATCCGGTAGAAGGTTACTTTAAGTTGTAGCATTAATAACAATTTAAATAGTTTTAGTGTTCATTTTCTTCCTTCTTTGAACATTTAATTTCTTTCTGCAATTATTTACTATGTTCCTTTAATGATTTATTTATTCTTCGAGTAGAGAATTTGTTCATGACAACTCTCAACCTTCTCTTGTTATTCAATGATACTTCAAAGATCGATAATGGTGTAATTAGAGAAGCAGAAGCATGATTGAATCGCTTTAGGTTTTCTATGTAATTAATACTTGAGTATTTTACTAACAATTGTTTTTCGAGTATTCATTTTATCCGATCATCAAGATAAATTATATTTAGTTAATCATGCAATTCTGTTTATATACAATGCTGAATACATGATCAAAAGTAATCCTCTGATTGCGATGAGATTGCAAATAGTTCAATTAGGTTTTATTCAACGGAAATAAAATAACTGATAAAACAGATTATTTTAAAACAAAAAATTGAAAAGACGAATTTTTTAATCATTCATATTTAGCAAAACTATCCTGATAAAATCACATGTGACACGCGAAATTGCCCATTAGATGTTAAATATGATGAAACTTATAATAGAGTTACTTTAGATGTAGATACTATCTTTAGTGATGGCGTAATCAAGGATGGGCTAAGTCGGACGCCACCCTATCACTGAAACAAAAAAATGTAGTAATTACTATCATTAACACTATATTGCATGAGTTATCCTCAAGATTGTTAGATTCTACCCTATCATCTATGATATTCTCGTTGCGTCACTAATCTCTAGTAATTTATGGCATTTATTAGGCGAGTAAGCATGTTGTTAGTCGAAAAAATTTCTTCAACAACACACTTCATCGATAGTAATCTATCACGAGAAAAGTTAATTTTAACATAACGTTCTTACTTTTATAGAAAAAAATAAATCGTTGAATTTAAATATTATACAATCATTTTATTAAAGAAAACATAAGTAGAGAAATAAAAAAGAACAACAAGAACATATAGAAAATATAGTTTGTGTTCTAATTTTTGCTTTCCGACCAAAGAATGAAAGACTCTCAACATATTAACTGATATTATTTTACTACATTTCAAAATTGAACTATTAGAGAGTGTTTAAAATCTAAAACATATGAAAATTAGAAAAGTATTCACAGTGAAAAGTCTCAAACTAAAGCTTTCGAATCTACTAGTTCATTTTCATCTAAAACTTACCTAAACTTAAGTCCTTTATTCTCATAATTTGACCACAAACAAAGCATGTTGCACTTTAATCATAAGAACTAATCAGCACTTGATCGGTCTTCATATGGTGAGATTAGAAGGTCAATATAGATTTTTTCTTCAAGTAAGAATTTCTCAACATAGATAAAATAGTTTTTTGCTTAAGATCTGTCATTCGATAATTCCGAACTGCCTTTATCATCAGTATAAATTCTGTTTCAAACAGTTTTAATTTGCCTGATTGATGAAGTATTTCTAGTCTACTCTTCACGTAAGAGTTGATGGAAATCATCAAAAAATGACGTATATCTCTAGCTAATCTCAACCATTAGTCATAAAGTTTTCTCTAGTGTGTGCTCTGCTCTAATCAAGTTTTTCTTGAAAACTTTACCATAGTAGTCATAAATGAAGACAAGACTTATGCTGAGATCGTCTCAGACAATAGAGGCTTCCCTGCGCCTTGAGATTACAGCGGATTGGAGTATCCTATTTGAAATACAATACAGATATGAGAATTTGTATTTGTTAATAAAGAGAATGAAGTTTCAAGTATTTAAACAGTCGAAAAAGTCTTTATTGATTCCTATAGAAAAAATCTCTGATTTCATTGTAAATCCATTGTATTTTAAGGCCTATTGATTTCAGATTGTTGCTTGCGATCATAGTTTATTGAGTTTTATTTGTAGTCAAAATATCAGGAAAAATTATTACAGTTTGTATTTTTTAACCTGGTAGCGCGACTTCTTGCGACTACTGTAAAAATTTATGCTGAAGATGAACTGATAGATTCTAAAGCTTTGTCATCATTATACCAACAATAAACTCTACAATTTAGTTGTATATATATACAGAGAATCAAACAATACTTCAATGATTAATACCGATTATTGCATTCATAATAATTCGTTAAACTAAAGCTAATTGTTTCAATTCATCAAAGGAAATCAAATCAAACCTGAGACTGTTATTTGACATTTTTATTTTCTTTTTATAAAAGAATAATTTTCAATAATACATCTTTCAAAGTAAATTTTCTGTCAGAAATAAATATTTCGTTTTGTTCATTATTGATCAACTAACTCACAAAGTTTTCTTAAAATACATTTCATTTGACGATGATGACGATTTCAATGGTTTTTTTTTTCCATTTTATTGAAGAATAAAGTAGCAAGATATTTATTTCGTGATATTCCATGTTGAATTATTAATAAAAATGAGATCTATTTATCAACATTGCAACAAGAGATATGTTCTAATAATGTGAATAAAACAAATTAAGTTTAGCAATTAACAATGATGCACCATTGAAATAGTTTATTATTATTGAATAGATAGTGTACTAAGAATCTTTTAATGCTGTAGATACCAACTTTTTTTATTCTCAATTGGTTTGTTATGATAAATTAGAAAGGTTTTTGTTCAACATGATAGAATGAATTATCCGATTAACTTTTGTCCTTGTTAATAATATGTGTAATAATTATTACCACATGCTATGCTTTGTTCTATTTGCTTTCAC